CCAGAGGACTTTAAGTCTCACCAGCTTAAGTATTGTCCCTTGGCCATGAATAGCCAGCCCTGGCATCTGGTGAAGCTCTGGGGAACCAGCAGATAGTGTTGTAGCCATGGACCTGGTCCCTAGGAGTGGGTCGGTGGTACCACCTGTGTTCTTGGTGAGGCGTGGGGCTGGATCATTCTGTGTTCCGGACAGAGCCTACCTAGCTCACACTGCTGAAGATGGGGATGAATCATGGTGGAGAAGGCCAGCTTAGTCAGCACCCCATACTGCTGTCTGGGACCCATGCATAGACACTCCAGCTGTCTCCCTTCTGCCAACTCAGGGTCAAGGAGCACAGTGGTGCAGGGTGTGCTTTGTGCAAAGACGCCTGACTGTGGCACGAATGATTCTGTTTACAGTGTGGCAAGGTGCTGTACCTGGCTAGGAAGTTCTGCAGGCTGCCCCTTAATATGTGTCCAAGCGCTTACTGGGAGGCAGTTGGATCAGGTGCCTGGAACTTCTTGTCTGGAGAGGTCACCTTGCTAGAGGCCAGCTCCTGCCAAGGCATGGCTTTGAGCACCTGGCTATGGAGACAAGCCTGGGGAGAGGTGAAAAGCACTGAGCCTCTGCTGTTATCCCTGGGCACTGGAGGCTGTGGAGCCATCATGCAATGTGGGAGTCTGGTCTGTGGTGCTGGGGGTCCAGTCCCACTTCTGCCTTTTGTGCTGTGGACTTTGGTTGCTCCGTGGTCCTCTCTTAGACTCACTTGCCTTATCTGCAATGTAAACTGGGTAATTTCAGGGGTCGTTTGAACACTGACATCCAGTTTCATCAGGCCTCTAATAATGATAGTATTGATAGCTAGGGTTTCATGGGCCTCGTGCTGTGTTAGGGCAAACATGAATGCTCTGATGCTCACAGCCACCCACAGGCCACTCTTAACGTCCCTGCTTTCATGGGAAACAGTCAGAGTCAAAGGACTGTTAAGACTAGAGTTAGTCTGCAGCTCACACACAGGATTGAGCCTGTATGATAATGAGTATTCAAAGACGGGTAATACCTAGGGTGCGCTCACCAACCTAAGACAGAGCGCCGGTGTGTCCTGGGCAGGCGTCTCCATGACGGGTAAGGTGACCTGCTGATGTCCCATGCAACCTAAGTCAGAAGCTCATTTATTAGTAAAAGGAGGACCTGTAGGGTCCTGGCCCCCGTTTTGGGTAACTGTTGCCTTGCTTGCTGACCTTGACCTTGATATCCTCCCTATGATAATTCCCTCCCTCCCGGGTTCCACCCTCCTGAATGCTTAAGGGAAGTTCCTTGTCTGTGTATCCTGCATAATGGGCGTTAACAGCTTAGATGCAAGATTGTAAAACATCGGTAGCGTAGCGAACTTCTGCCCTCCCAGGTTCTCCCATTGTGCTGTAAGCCTGTATTTAAGACCTCCTCCCTCCTTCAATTCAGCATTAAAAAAAAATTAAATTAAATTTAAAAAAAAAAAGACTAGAGTTAGAAAGCAGTAGCCCTGGGTTTAAATTTAGACTTGAGGGCTGTGGTTAAGAGCACTGGCCGCTCTTCTAGAGGTCCTGAGTTCAATTCCCAGCAACCATATGGTGGCTTATAACCATCTATAATGAGATCTGGTGCCCTCTTCTGGCATGCAGGCAGACATACAGACAAAACACTGTATACATAATAAATAAATAAATAAAACTTAAAAAAAAATCTTTTAAATTTAGACTTGAACTCTAGAGCCCAGTTCTTACCCCTTACTCCACATGACCTCCCTAGAAACCAGAGCAGGTGATAACAGGGCCTGGGACTCAGTGCCATCCTAACAGTGACCGTTGAATGAAGTGGTCACCTTCCTTTTTTTGTTGTTTTTTGTTTTTTGAGACAGGGTTTCTCTGTGTAACAACCCTGGCTGTCCTGTAACTTACTTTGTAGGCCAGGCTGGCCTCAAACTCACAGAGATCCACCTGCCTCTGCCTCCCAAGTGCTGGGATTAAAGACATGTGCCACCACTGCCTGGCCTTGTGGTCACCTTCTTATCTCACCAACAGACATACAGGGGTCCTTAGAGATCTCCTGGTTTGACCCTCCTCCGGCCACTGTACAATGAGGCCCCTAGAGGGCAAGTGATAGCCCCGGCTTCTCCTGACAGACCTGTGGACTTGTCTGGGGTAGCCAGAGGAGGTTATGGGTGGGCAGCTGTGGCTCTTAGCTGAGGTTCATAAAGGAGGTTTGCCACCATGTATGTGTGCACGGGGGAGGAGCTCATTTGGTTTCTGGTGTGATCGAGCAGATGGACAGAGAGGCATGTGGCCTTGATTTCCTAGTGGGCTAGTGTTTCCAATGGTGTGACTAGAGGCTTCCCTTATTCTGAAACCTGTTCTGTGACCAAGGCACTTCATAGTACCTCTCTGATCCTCATCTTTCCCATTCATAAGTAGGTTTTAATGCATACACTTTGGGTTTCAAAGGGACCAGCATGGTACTGGGGTGAATGAATAGTTAAGTGTCAATATGATTTGTTGGAGACTTGTGGTTAGTGTAGTGCAGACATCCTACCTGGGTTCTAAGCCCACCTCAGCTGCCTTCTAGTAGTGTGACCTTGACTCAGTTTTTTTGCCTCTTGGGGTCTCATTGCCCTTACCCTGAAGTCTCATGGGCATCCCTTGCAGGTTATGATGAGGCTTGTGTGGGATGATGCATGCAAAGCCAGTGTATGATAGATGCTTCAGAACCACGACTCCAATAATGTTTCCTGAGCACTTGATGCTAAACATGAGTTAGTCTCAGTTCCTAGTCTTTTTTATTTGTGGTACTAGAGATTGAACCCATCGCCACGTGCGTGCTGGGCAAGTGTCCTGCCCCTGACCTGTAGCCTCGCCTTAATCTATAACTTTGTATTAGCATATTTGTCTGTATTACTCCTGAAACAACAGCTGATCGTTCAGATCCACTGTCTCGTGTTCACACAGTAAAATCTAGGTGTCAGGAAGGGACAGTGACTTGCATAAGGTCACACAGCTGGTTTCTGTGCTCTGGGTGGTTTTGTCCACCTCAGTCTGTTGCAGAGCCACTGCTCCACTTCCTGTCAGTCTCCAGAGGGACACCTTCCTCCGCCCCTCCTTTTCCCATTACTCTCCCGAGCCAGCAGCTCCTTGGAGCTTCAAGCTTCGTGAATGGCTTGGTTAAGCACTTGGCCGTTAAGCGTTCATCTCTTACAATTTCAATCCAATTCCTATAAGTTTATTGGCAAGACGGGGTGCATTAGAGCTGCCAAATTTAATAGATCAAGTCCTCGTGTCTGGGATGCAGTTTCTCGGAAGTAATGAGAGAAGAGAGGTTTTATACGTTTTCATTTGGAATGACTAGCTGTTCCTGATCCCATTACAGCCCCTGACTTAATGGCTGCCATCCCTGTCTGCTGCAAGAGCAGCTTTCTCCATCAGCCTGCTTGGCTGCCTGAACCAGCCGTGGCAACCGTTTGTCTCCTCGTCTCTCCCAGGGCCTTCTTCCTGAGGAGTGTCCCCATCTGCTTGCTCTGTGGGTTCAGTCCCAGAGCCAGCCTAGTTTGCCAGGTGTGTGGCAGTCTGGGGCTTCGGCTGCCACTTTAGATAGCTACCTTGTAACCTCAGGGAAGTCATTTCCATCTTCCTCTGGGCCTCTGGAGCCTGCTCTTGTCATCGGAGGGGCTGCACGACCCAGGGAGGACTTGGCTGTGAGACTGATGGAATCACTGTCCGCCTTGGCATGGGACATGGTGGCTGAGGGAGCTGTTGCTGAAGGGCCTGGAGACACTGCAGTGTTCTCATTTCCATCTGATGCTGCCTGGGAACCTCCTCCCCCAAGATGCAGCCGTCTCCTCAGGAAGCTGTCGGCACCTGCTGTGGGGCTCTCTGGCTTCCCTGAGCACTGAGCTAGCTGTAGGAGGGGGAACACTTGGCAGCAGAATTTTAGGGGACCTGTATTTGCTTTCTGCTTACCAGCTGTGTGACATTAGGCAAATCGCTTCCTCCCTCTGAACCCCAGTTGTCCCAAAGGGAGCATGGTGATTCATTAATTTATTCTGCAAATGCCTGATTGCCTACCTACTCTGTTCTAAGTACTATTTAGGGGCTGGGGCCTCTAAGAAAAGGCAAAATATACTTGCCTTCATGGATTTATATTCTTGTTGGAAAAGAAAGACAGTAATATAACAAGTAATTTATTGCTTTAAAGGAGGTAAGTGCTCTGAGGAAAAATAAAGCAGAAAGTGGTGAGAACTCGAGAGGATCCTGTGTGTTCAGGTCGAGTGGTCGAGTTCAGACCCACTGATCGTGGGAGCATTTGAGCAAAGGACTGAGTGAGCGGCGAGTGTGACAGGTGTCTGAGAGACAGTCTCCAGGCCCAGGCTCAGCAAGAACAAACCCAAGATGGCAGCCACATGCCTGGCATGTGTGAGGAGCAGGGGGAGGCCTGAACAGAGAGAACACGGAGGTTGGAGGCCCACCAGGGACAAAGGAGGTGAGCCAGAGGGTTTAAGGTAGTGGTCCTCCAGCCTGTCCACATTAGAATTACCTAGAAGTTTAAAAAATAAATCTCCAGCAGGGTGGTGGTGGCGCATGCCTTTAATTCCAGCACTTGGGAGTCAGAGGCAGGCGGATCTCTGTGAGTTCGAGGCCAGCCTGGTCTATAGAGCGAGATCCAGGACAGCCAGGGGGTTACACAGAGAGACTATCTCGAAAAACCAAAATCAATAGATAAATCAATAGATAAATATCTCCAAACTTGGGCCTCGTACCCTGAAGTTCTGGCTCGGTCAGCCAGTGTTGAACTGGATGGCAGAAGAGTAAGGCCCCTCTGGGGGATTGTCAGCTAGTTGTCAACTCTGCAAACTCCAGAGGCAGCGGGCCTGTAAGCAAAGCCTTGGCCCGAGCCTGGCTCTCCGTGCTCGGTTGAGGACCCCGTGTGTGCCCAGAGCTTCAGCACAGGATCTTTTCTTCAGTGGTCTGACCAAATGCTTTGTGGCTTTGCAGGGGCCCTCGCATTTGGTGGAGGTGGCCATGGGGAAGCGATACTTCTGTGATTACTGTGACCGCTCCTTCCAGGACAACCTGCACAACCGAAAGAAGCACCTCAATGGGCTGCAGCACCTCAAGGCCAAGAAGGTGTGGTACGACATGTTCCGAGGTGGGTGCTGCAGGCTCAAGGCTGCCTCCTGCGGGCACACTCCGCCTTAACTGCCCACCAGACAAGGACTCCTGAGGGACAGGCTGGGATGGAAGACGACTACTGCTACTACTACTACTACTACTTCTTCTTCTTCTTCTTCTTCTTCTTCTTCTTCTTCTTCTTCTTCTTCTTCTTCTTCTTCTTCTTCTTCTTCTTCTTCTTCTTCTTCTTCTTCTTCTTTTGAGACAGGGTTTCTCTGTGTAGTTTTGGCTGTCCTGGATCTCACTCTGTAGCCCAGGCTGGCCTTGAACTCACAGAGATCCGCCTGGCTCTGCCTCCCGAGTGCTGGGATTAAAGGCGTGCGCCACCAACACCTGGCTGACTTTTTTTTAACATTTATTTTTATTGTATGTATGTATTTGCCTGCACATATGTAAGTACATGTATGCTTGGTGTGCAGGTCAGAAGAAGGCATCAGATGCCCTGCAACTGGAGTTATGGATGGTTATGAACCACCATGTAGGTGCTGTAAACTGAACCCAGATCCTCTTCAATTGCATGTGGACAAATGCATGCACACATTTGCCCAGAGTCAATGTATGTGGAGGTCAAAGAATAACTTGTGGGGATGAACACCTTTATTTCAAGCACTGAGGAGGCAGAGGCAGGTGAATCTCTAGGAGTCTGAGACAAGGCTAGCCTGGTCTACACAGTGAGTTCCAGGCTATCTAGGCCCCGTGTTAAAAAAAAAACTAACAAAGCCAAGGGCTGAGGCTATAACTCAGGGTTGGATTGTTTGCCTAGCATGCAGAAGACCTTGTGTTTGATTCCCAGTGCTGCAAAGGTAGGATGGCAAAAACAACATCAACAACAAAGAGTAGAGAGAGGTAGGCCAGAGTGGAGCCTCCTTTTCCGGACACCTTGACCAAGGCCTCTGGGTTTGCCTACCATGGACTACCTAAGGGACACTGTGAGTTGGAAGAGCCCTCTTTGAGGAGTTAGTCTTTGAGCCACTGGCTGAAATATGGACTTCAGACATACTTCTGGGAGCAGGGGGAGAGGATGCAGCCTGTAAGAGAAGCATGGAGGAGCGGAAGCTGACTGTGGGCGGGGCTGGATCTTCCAGAGCAACCTTATGAAGAATACTGCTGGTTAGCAATAGGGTGTGGGAAATGGCTGTTCAATGATGGGCACAGAGGGTGCTGTTCATCTGCCAGAGAAGGGTGGGCCCTTTAGAAAGGGCTTCTCGGCCCTAGAGTAACCTGATGATGGGCTGAGGTGGGAAGCATCCAGCACAGGGCCTGTCTTGATAGGTAGGAGCTCGATCCAGCCAGCCGAAAGGTACGGGAGATTGGCATTGTGGCTGCAATGGCCCGGGAGTACCTGGACTGAGATGGGGTCGTGTTGGTGCACTACAGGCTCAAAGCAGGTGAAGGAGAGAGCCAGATCTGAGAAGCTAAAAACTGAGTCTTAGCAGCCAAGGAGACAGGAGAAAGGAAGCCATTTCTTTCTCTGGGTGACTCTGTATGGTAGTGGTTCTCAACCCTGACTATGTGTCAGGATTACCTAGGAACCTTTAAGGAAAAGTGCTAGCTAAGCTTAGTAGCCTGGTGGTGTTACTTGGGAAGCTGAGGCAAGATCACCTGAGGCCAGCAGTTTGTTGTTCTTATTTTTAAAACAGGATCTTACTCTAGCACAAGGTGACCTGGAACCTGGAACTCATTATGTAGCCCAGGCTGGCCTTGACCTTGCAGCAATTCTCCTGCCTCAGCCTCCACAGGCATGAGTCACCAAGCCTGACATGTCCAGGAGTTTGAAGCCAGCCTAGGTATACTGCAAGACCTCATCTCAATCAAAATGAAACCTTGATCCCTTGATACCATCTCCAGATGCAGGGTGCGGGCTGAGGGGTTGGGACCAGCCATGGTTTTGTTTGTTTGTTTGTTTAAAGACGGAGTCTCACTATGCAGCCTGGTTGTCCTGGAACTCACTGTGTAGACCAGGATGGCCTTGAGATCCTCCTGCCTCTGCCTCCCAAGTGCTGGAATTAAAGGCGTGTGCTTCCGTCTAGCTAGCTGTGGTATTTTAAAGCTCTCCCGTTTCAGGAGAGGAAAGTGAGGCTCGGAGACTTGACGCAGGGAGCGTGGCCCACCAGCGAGGTGGTGGTGGTGAGGGGGCAGTGGCTGAGAGAGAACAGGGGTAGGTTGGGGATTCAGAGACAGTGGGGCTCCTCAGAAACCTGGCATCAGGCAAGGCCTCCTGTCCCCCAAATCCAGTGGAGACTGTGATCTGGCATCAGCTGGGCCAAGATCATCTCCTAGTCGCAGGTCCTGGGTTCAGGGCTGAGCAGCAGACTCTTCGTATTACAGAAAGGTGAAAAGGCGGATGCCGTGAGCCCTCTCCTCAGGACCCCTCACATCTTCAGCCACATCCAGGCCTTTGATCAGCTCTGTGAGGAAGGCTGGTGGCCAGGAGTCCCCACTTAGAGATGATCGCTTTAAATACAAAGCACCCGGGGGGATCTAGCTTTGGTGGCTGAGTTGGCACGTGAGCTCTTTCCACTTCGTCAGGAGGCTTCCCTTTGGCTTACCCCAGCCACTCTGCAGACCCTGGGAGGCACTGTGCGTGTGTGTGTGTGCGTGTGTGTGCGTGCGTGCGTGCGTGCGTGCGTGCGTGCGTGTGTGTGTGTGTGTGTGTGTGTGTATGTGAGAGAGAGAGAGAGAGAGAGAGAGAGAGAGAGAGAGAGAGAGAGAGAGAGAGTCACCTGGAGCTTCACTTAGCACCGCTTTGTCCCTCCAGACAAGTCCATGAGCCCTCAGCCACTGGTGTTCCACAGGCCATGGTCAGGACAAGCGCGGGCCCTGAAGACTAGCTGCCTGTCAGTCACTACAATGTGACCCTAACTTCGTTGTATGTAAACCAGACATAACAATAGCGAACGGGGCTCAGTAGTCCCATGGTAACTAGACACAAGGGTATAGTGAGTAGGGATGATGTCTCGGTGTCCCCAAAAGGATTGACCTCAGGCCCTTTGTCTCTTGGACTCATTTATTCAGCCATTGCTCAGTGAGTACTTAGCAGTACTTAGCTCACAGCCAGCCTCTGAAGAGTCAAAGGTGGATAAAGTAGGGCCCTTCTTTTATGCTGCAAGCCGCAGGAATATATCATAAGAACTCAGCTGGTTATGGCAAAGTCACTACCTGGAGGAATCAGGGAATTCCTCCAGAGGAAGCCAAATCCCAAGGAGTTTTGATGTTACTTGGCTTGTTATATATCAGCTGTCTTCTGTTATGAAAATCATGTGTGCCTTCATAGTCTTCCCAATTGACTTTTCCCTAAGAAGGGCTAACAGTGTGGACTGATCACTCTCTGGACATACACATTCCAGGTATTTGGAGAACAGCCTCAGGAAAGGCTTTCTCTGGAATCAGATATCTCCCTTGGCCACTTTCAAGGACTAGCAGTAATAACAGTCCACATGCAAGTCTCCTGATTTAAGGTAAATTCCACAAGGAGACACCACCTAGGTCAGGTGGACGTTAAGTAATAGCTTTACACAATTCAGCTCGGACCCTCCTTTCTTAACAGCCTTACTAACTTTATAGACCTCTAACTCCTTACCTAACCACTTCTAGGAATATTTAGATAACCTCCTGCACTGACAGCTATGCTTAGCCAGAACCCCAGTTCAAGCCTCCCTGTAATTATTATCATTAGCAGCATCGGGCCAGGTCCATCCCCAGATAGAGAAGAGTACTTTATCAGAGATACCTCTGTATTCTCTAAGAACAGACTTAACCATCCAGGCTACCTGTCTGAGAAGCCTGGCGGATGTGCCAGTTAAGCTTTACTTCCTCTTTTCCCAAACCTTACCTCCAGTTCCAGATCTCCCTTTAACTATCACCAGAGGCATCCAGCTGTACACAGGTTGCCTAGCGACTGAGCACACTTTCCCCCACCCTGCAGAAAAAACGGCAGATAGCTTGGACAGATAGGAGCCACAGGAAAAAAGAAGACAGTTTTATTTTCTCCCATTGACCTAGCAACTTATAGATTCTTAACATTTTCTACCAATCACGTTTAAGATTATAGTTGAGCACATAAGAGCCCTCTTCTTAGATATTACCTGAATTCAGCCTTTAGTTAATTCATTTCCCCATTGGTCACTTCCCTTTGGGGTTGCAAATGATAATTAATGGTTATTGGCTCCCTATGTGATTCTTATCACCCCTCCATTTGACCCTGAAAACCTGGCTTTATATACCAGGACTTCCAGGGCACTGGAGGACGGAGAAGAGAAAAGAGAATGGAAGAACTAGATGGGTAAGAACTTGAGAGGAACAAACTGAGATGGGGAAGAACTAGATTAAAGGGCTAGAAGAGAGGACTAGAGGAACGAGATGGAAGATGAGGATGAGCCAGATGGGGAAGAACAAGATGAGGAAGAACGAGATGAGGAGAGAGAAAGAGATGGGAGAAAAGATGATATGGGAAGGAACAAGATGGATGAGAACCTAGAAGGGGCAGAACAAGATGAAGGAATTAAGATAGAACCCAGAGGGGACCGCGGACAAGTGTAGAGAGAAATCAGGCAAGAAAAGACCTAAATATGAGAGCAGAATATAAGCTTGTAACTGACACAGAATAATAAAGTATATGAACTAAGGAGTTTCGTGTACATAGATTCATTTCTTCTCATCAAAGATTAATTATCAGCTGGTTGTAGATTCTTCCCGGACCCTGGGAGGGGACTATCGAGGGGCTGGACCCCCTTAGTCCCCGATACTTTTACATAGGTTTGCCCAGGTTATTTATTACATTTATTTATTTGGGGCGTGTGTGTGTGTGTGTGTGTGTGTGTGTGTGTGTGTGTGTGTGTGTAAGTGTGTGTGTAATGGCTCGCATGTGAAACTCAGAGGAGAGCTTATGAAGATCAGTCTTTCTCCCATGGGGGCTCTCTAGGTATAGAGCTCAAATCGTCAGGAAGCACCGTTATCTGCTGAGCCATCTCAAGGGCCTGCAGGCACTTATGCAAGGTGCTTTGGGCAAAGTCCCAGGCTTGTGCTGGCTTCTGTGTTCTGCTGGCCTTTCACTCCTGGCCCTGGCCACACTCCCTGCATATCTTCTCTGTGGACATGCCCTTCCTGCCGTCCTCCTCCATGAGGACAGTCCCTGAATCTCAGAACTCAAGTCAGACAGCAAATCCTCCGGAATGCCTCCCCATCCCCAGGGCCAGGCCAGGTCATCCGGTGACAGGTTCAGTGCTTACTGCATCGACGTCCATGTAGACTAGAGCGGTTGTAGGGCTGGAAGGAAGGACAGGGTCTCACTTGCTCTGTACTTAAACATGCAAACTGGCACAGTGCCTGGTCCACAGGAAGGATACGCTTAGTGGACGTTTGAGAGATGAAGGGCTAATTGAGCAAACAAGCGCGGGGCACCGGGGGCAGCTGGGTACTGAGGAAGGTGGAGCTTGAGGGATTGATAGTTCAGGTCACAGAGAGCATTACATATTATGTAGGGGAGCAAGGCCCCTCTGAGCAGAGCCTGGGCGGAAGGTTCTCAGTGTGGCATCCTTCAGGGGCACTGAGGAATTTTTAGCAATTATAATGACTCTCTCTCTCAGAGGAATTAAAGCAGAACCTAGAAAAAGTGCATACCTATAATCCTACCACTCAGGAAACTGAGGCAGGAGGATGAAGAGCTTGAGATATCCAGGGCAACACAGTGAGTTCCAGGCCAGCCAGGGCTACATAGTGAGATCCTGTCCAAAGGAGAAAAATGCAAGTGGAACCTGAGAACCACCCCTGGTGATGGAGGCCTGTAATCCCAGTCTGAAGCAGGAGGATCCTAAATTCAAGACCTAGCTGGACTACTGGGAATCTGAGAGGAGTGGATTGATTGTCCATAGCTGCCCCATGCTTCTAAAGTGAGTTGGGTGGAGAGATACCAGCCAGAGGCTAGGTAGTATGGAATTCTCCCACACTCGGCTAGTCACTCAGGGCCCCTTGTCTGGGATCCAGGCTCAGCCCTCGGGCCAGCCGTAGTGGTACTAGGCCCAGAAGAATCCTGAGAAGGTAGGCCATTAGTGTCTGTAGTCCCAGCTGGGTCTGACAGATGGGTGCTTCTCTAGCCTAGGAGCCTCCTCACTGGAATAAATTCTCTGACAGCCAGGTCCAATCCCAGAGGACTAGCTGCTCTGCACGGAAGCGTCCCCACGGCAATGGCCACTCAGCCACCTGAAAGCAGAGCAGGGCTCTCCACTCACCACAGTGCAGGCTAGGTGCTGCTCCTTCCCGACCACATGTCCTTGGGCAGCCCATTCCCTGTCTCAGGCTCAGTCCCTACCCCTAAGGATGGAGCTGTTAGCGCTGTCCAGCAAGCTTGTCAGGAGGGAATAACTGTGGCTGCTTTACAGTGCTGTCGGGTGCTAGGAAGAGGATGCTGAGGCTGCCCAAGTCCTGTGACTCTAAGGTACCGGCAGGATTGCAACCACGACTCCCCATTTCTTGTTCTATTACACCTTCACAGCAGCCCCGCCAAGGGGGAACTTTTCTCCCCATTACATGGGGAGAAACAACCCTGGAAAGACAGCAGCTTCCTGTGGCCATGTGCAGCTGGGGTTTGAGCTCAGGTCTTCTGGACTCAAGAGCCCATGGCCTTTGGGAAGGTGTAGGCAAATGTCCAGCCCTACCTCTCGTCTTGTCTAGGGATCACCTTCTCTACCTTACTCAGACTTTTGTATGTATGTTTGGAAACAGGATCTAGCTGTCTGGCCTAAGCTGGCCTTGAATTCTTTTTTTCTTCTTCTTCTTCTTTTCCTTTTTTTTTTTTGACAAGGTTTTTCTGTGTAGCCCTGGCTGTCCTGGAACTCGCTCTGTGATCTGCCTGCCTCTGCCTTCCAAGTGCTGAGATCAAAGGCATGCGCCAGCACTGCCCTGCCTGGCCTTGAACTTATGCTCGAACGGTCCTCCTGTGTCACCTTCCAAGTAGTGAGGACTGTAGGTACGCACCCCCATGCCTTGTTTACTCACCGAGTTTTGACTGATACCTTTCCTGCTGAGAAGCACACCAATTTAAAACCAAAACTGGGGGCTGGAGAGATGGCTCAGAGGTTAAGAGTACTGGCTGCTCTTCCAGAGATCCTGAGTTCAATTCTCAGCATCCACCTGGCGGCTCACAACCATCTAGAATGAGATCTGATGCCCTCTTCTAGCATGCAGGCACACATGCAGGCAGAACACTGTATACATGATAAATAAATAAATCTCAAAAAAAAAAAAATAGAGTGACATAGAGATAACGTCAACCTAACAACAATAGCGCCAGTATTTGGGAACTTTAAGAAAAAAAACGAAACCGTAACTGTATGATGAGAATAAAGAGGAGAAATGGGAAGCCAGGGTTAAAACGGGCATCCAGAATGATCGCTGGGATGTCCCGTACAGAGTAGTGGCTGCTGTGGCTCTGAGTACCCACCACTGGTGCCAGGGAAGATGAAAAGCGTGCTCATCACAGTCTGGCACTGGGAGCCTTCCCTGGTCCCTGGTGGGGTCAGAAGGGAGCACAGTCCTGTACATCAAGACTTTCTGGAAAGTTTTTCATGTTGAAATATCATGTGCCGCTTAATAACAGGGAGACATTGTTGTGTGGATATCACAGACTAAAACAACCATGACATCACTAGGCAGAAGATCACCACTGAACATGTGGCCTGCCATGGAGCAGAACATCTGTGTGTAGTCTTTGACTGTCTCAGGACAGACAGGAAGTTAGGAAGGTAGTTCACAGAGGTCCCAATGGAGCCAGAGTTTTAAAATAACCTCCTCCATCCAAACCCACTGGCAGACAACTTGGAGAGCCTCTAGCCTCAAACTGCCTCACAGTTTTAGCTAGTCCTGAGGGAGTGTGAGGAGTGGAGGTCCCCTTAGTGTGGCTCCCTGTATCCACCATCTCTACCCACTGTGGCCAGCTTCCACCCCTCCGTGGACGGAGAGCTCTCTTCTTTCCTGATGACTATTTTATACCTCTGACGCATGCCTGCAGGCTCCTCCCTCGGTGGAGTCATCTGAATCCAGACTTCCCTTGCAGATGCAGCTGCCATCCTGCTAGATGAACAGAACAAGAGACCCTGCAGGAAATTCCTGCTGACAGGTGAGTACTCTGTTCAGCTCTGTCCTTACAGAAAAGCCACATCTTGTCTGGCCTGCATGGCACCCTGCAGTGTCTCCTCCGGTCCCTGCCACCATCCTGGACCTCTTTGTAGTCTTGGCTTTAGCTGAGTTGAGGCATCTCCAGGAACTTGTTCTCACCTGGAGACCCTTCAGGCATAGGCTGTGGTTTTATTGGCTCATTTAGAATAAGAAGTGCTGGGGAATGTGAGCCAGAGAACACTACTGAAGTCATAGACCGGCTGGTTGGGTTAGCCAGGGGGCCTGATCTCCTGCATCCTCCTTCCCAGCAAGGGGAGGCAGAGACTGGGATGGATCTAGTAATCCCAAATTCAGAGTAAGAACCTTGGGTGCTATGTGTTCCTTTGAGTACTTAATCCTCAGCTCATAAAAGTGAGTATAGGATGGTGTAGTGGTACCTGCCCCTCATCCTAGCACTGGGGAGGTGAAGGCATGCCCAGCCAAGGCTATGTAGCAAGCCTTGCCTTTAGAAAAAAATAATACACACATACATGCACGCACGCACACACGCATGCACGCACGCACGTGCACACAATGAAGATAGCAGTAAGGAAGGAAGCAAAGACAGTTAAGGCTAGGAAGTCAGGTGATCCAGGAATCACTAGTTTCCATGCCCGTCCTTGAGGGCCTGTGTACTCTTCTAAGGGTTTAGCCCTGAGCTTCCTGGCAATCAAAGCAAGGCTGAAAATCACGGGATTCCCGTAGTTTAGACAGGAGCTTAGCTCTGGAGAGGGCACTGCTGCTGGACCAGGGAAGCTGGGTAAATGGCCAGACTCCCCTCAGGAGACGGTGCTGCCTGATGAGTGGCCACCAGGCCTGCAGGTCAGGGGTCCCCCACAGCCTCAGCCTTGGCGTGTGTCTGCTCTGGTAGGTTGTGCTAGCTGAGGACGCCACTGATCTATAATTTTGAAAGCCATACTTCAGATTCCTTGATTGATAATGGGAAAGCCATCCAGACATTGACTTCTCCTTGGCAAAGTTGCCCCCAGGTTCTCTGAGGAGCAGTCTAGCTGCTTGTACAGGCTAACTGAGCAGGCAGAGCACCAGGTAGGGCCGCAGCACATGCAGTGAGCTGGTCTAGAGAGGAAGGGTGAGCCTCTCAGGAATCCACGTGGAGCTCGTTGAGCCTCATGGCATGGGCTGGTGAGAAGGATGGCCAGCTCAGGCCTGTGTGGGCCAACACTGACAGGCTTCGGGGGATACTCATGGAGGCTCCCAGCAGAGCATCAGGAATAGGGCATGATGGGCCAGGGTGGCACCTCAGGCTGGTGAGTGCGAGCAGTGCCAGAGTCCTGTTTTTTATTCCAGACTGGGGCTGCGACTCTAGATCCTAAAATCCTGCCCCCAACACTAGGGGACCTGTCTGCCAGAGTGCTTTCAGCTGTGGTAGAACCCTTCCTGAGCGGAGAGTAACCGTCTTCCCATTGCAGGCCAGTGCGACTTTGGCTCCAACTGCAGATTTTCCCACATGTCAGAACGAGATCTGCAGGAACTGAGCATCCAGGTGGAGGGTACGTGGGGGTGAAGCAGAATTGAGGGGTGGAAATGGGAGAGGCTGTAATACCAGGAAACTGCTCTGTGCCACCCCACTTTCTCCCTTACTGGCGTGTACTATGTGAATAAGCCTAGGACCGCCCAGGCTGGTGGGGAATCCCTGAGCCGTTCCACTGGGTGTATGTCAGGAGCAGGGCTGTGCTCCTTGGGAATGAAGCATCTGTGGCTGCTTCCCAGGACCCTGAGGGTACGCCCTCACTCACCTTCTGCTAGTCTCTGTTGTTCCTGGATGATTTCCTCCTCTCTCCCTCCCCTCCTTCCTGTAGTCAGGAAACACAAGAGTCCCCATTCAGCACCAGCAAATGCCCTGCAACCTCTGAGGACAAGTCTGCAGGAAACACTTCCCTACTGGGCTTGGTGACACACCTGTAATCTCAGACTTGAAAGGCGGAAGCAGGAGGATCAAGAGTGTAAGGTTGTCTTCCTGAACTTGAACTACATAGCTAGTTCAAGCCTGAATATATGAGACCTGTTTAAAAGTGTGTTCAGGTCCCTCACAGCCTGGTGACTGTGGCTTCCATGAGAGCTGGCTTGTCTGCCTTTGGGATTCTCTGCTCGTCCCATTACAGATCCAGGAAGGGCCACCTGGATGATTGTCCCCATCTCCTGTAGCACCTGACTGAACAGGTGGAGAAAATGAGCCAGCACTCAGGCAGAAGGACCCGGAGGCTGGCATCACGCAGGGTTTCTGGGAGCTTTCCCAGGGCAGAAGTGAGGCCTCATGGGGCTCTTCACTGGACATGTGTCGTCGGGGAATGGTTGGCTCACGGTGGAGGGAACATAGGCCGTGGAGCCTGAGCAGGAGGCAGGGTTTAGTGGCAAGAAAGCTAGGCTAAGGCAGTTGAAATGGCACTGGCTCTGTCAGCACCCTGTGACCTTGGCCCGGGGACGGATTCTTGGAGGCAGTAATGGTTGTGAGGGTGAGTGAGATGATGCGGACTCAGTGACAGTGTAGAGCCTGGGCCTGAGCGAGTGGATCCTAGCACAAGGCCCCATCCCACAGTAGCGAGAGCCTCACTCCCTAGCTCTCACCAGCTTGTTTGAATTCTTTCCATTCACTGGTTGTCTTTTAGTATAGTGAGCACCATTTTTATGGGACATTGGATGAGGAAAAAAACCAGGGGACTGAGGCGTATTACCTTGCCTAGGGTCAGAGACCTGGCAGGTGCCAGAGCTGCGATTCCACCCCATTCTACAGTCCACGGTGCCTCCTGCATCCCACATTTAGACCCCTCTTGAGAATTAAGCTCTGCATTCATTGTCCTGCTTCTAGCTCCCCAAGGCTTGGAGACAGACAGCATGTCTCTGTTTGACAGAGAGCAGAGCAAGGCTTACATCACTGAGTCATTGTGGACAGAGGATCTGGGGAGCCAGTGGAATGGAGGGGACAAACCTGATCCTGACCTACTGGCCCACTTCCCCCTGACAGACCAGTACGTCATCCCCAAGTTTGCCCAGTACTTGCTGTTTTGTGGAAGAATGAGATTCAGGCCAACGGGGTTGTGTCCCTTACCCTTCCTTGTCATTCTGTCCCCCACAGAGGAGAGGCGGGCCAGAGAGTGGCCACTGGAGACTGCTGAACTTCCTGAGGGCCACCTGGAGGACTGGCTGGAGAAGAGAGCTAAGAGGCTGAGCTCAGCCCCAAGGAGCAGGTACAGGCCCCAGGATTATCCCTCCTTTCTTTCTGGGAGCTGCCTGAGCCAGCCTGACCTTTGGGGAAGCTGAGGCATCCATATGAACTGCCCAGGCCCAGGGACCAAGCATGAACCCCCACAACAGCCTCCTGGAGGTGGGGCCCACTGGAAGATCTTGGGTTCTCAAACCCCAGCTAGAGGGAGTTGTACTGGAGAAATTGCCTGGTCCCTTGGTCCCTTCTTTTAGTACTCACCCCACAGGGCTGAAGGAGAGGCCAGTGGCCAAACAGATGTGACTCCACACCTGGCACTGTAAAAAGTCAGGGCCTTACCTATGGCAGCTAAGCCCCCTGTGTACCCAGGGCTCACTGTCCCCTGTAGGGCCCTGGAGAAGGGGAAGCTGAAACTCACAAACACTGGTGGAAGAAGCAGAGCAAGGGGGTGCCAACAAGGTCATTGTCCCACCGCATCCCTGAGGACCCAGGATGCTCTGAAATGGACATAAGGAACTGTGCTGAGCCGGGCACTATTAGAGCATGGCTGTGCGCTCCTCCCTCTAGAGGGTCAGGATGCAGCCCACACTTCCCCTCAGCAGACAGCTGCACAGCGGAGGGGCAGGGGCTTCTGGAGCCACATGATGTCACAGCCGAGGCAAAGCCAGGGCTCCCAGGCCCTCCAGGTGTTAAAGATGGAGCAGGAGGAAGGGCTAAAGCTGAGCTGGAGAGCTGAGTGTGGCTTTGTACAGATGTCTCTGGTTTTCAGACCCCATATCTCTATGCTGTGGCCTCAAGGGACAGTGGCTTGGCTGTGTTAAGGATGTCTGTCAGACATTCTGTGGAGTGAAAACTCTCCTCCAGGCTCTGCCACAGGGTAAAGATTGAGCTTCTTGTCCCAGTGGAAAGGGATTAATATTGTATTTAAAACTGTGTTTTTTACATTTATTTGGGAGGAGGTGTGCACATGCGCGCACACATGGAGTCAGTTCTCTCCAGCATGTGGGTTCCAGGCCAGCAGCACCTGCACCAACTGAGCTCTTTCTCCAGCCCCTGCTGTGGCATTTAAAAATCACCTTGGTGTTCTACCTTTTCAAAAAAAAGTGCTTTAATTTTTATGTGTTTGTCTGCACATTTATCTGTGCACCATGTGTGTGCAGAGCCTGTGGAGTCCAGAGGAGGACACTGGACCCCCTGGAACTGGAGTTATAGGTGGTTGTGGTGGGTGCTGGAAATCAAAGCTGAGTCCTCTGCAAGAGTAGCCAGTGCTCTTAACTGCTGAACCTCCTCTACAGCCTCATTTTACTTTTAGTTTAAACCTGGACCCTGTGTCTGTACCCCCACTTTAAAGACACATAGTACAGGTACAGCCTAAGCAGACGGCTGTACACCTCAGAAGGGACACCCATTTCTTCTGGACCCATTTGAAGGGGTGTAATTTTGGACATTGTCCAGGAGTCTAGGCTCCGTCAGCTGTGTCAGAGAGCCGCAGGGCGCTCATTCTGAGCCCACCACAAGGGTTTCCCAGAGCTTCCCACTTGTTAACTGTGATGTGTCGGCTGCTTCCTCCACTGTCCTGCCTCAGCAGTCTCCTTCCATGGGAGTGAGTGACAGCCTGGGCACACTGGGGCAGTGAGAGGGTTCAGGAAGACCCTGTCTCTGGACTTCAGTGGCAAGTAAGTAGAGATAACATACCCAAAGTCCCTGCCTGAGTACAGACAGACATGCCCAGTGTGAATATGGGAGCTAGGGGGTGATATGGGGAAACAGGATGAATGAGTAGCCCAAGTCACGGCTGGAGTAGTATTCATGGTGTGTCCTGTACATGGTCCCAGGCATCCAGGGGCCTGGCACACTGTTGTGCAACTCTGGAGTTGGCTCTTCCTGGTCAGGTAACTGAGGCCCTGCTGCTTCGGCCGCTGGCTCCTCTGTTACTGTGTTGAGTGCTGCCCAAGGGCCCAGCAGCCCACATCTGAAGTGACAGCGGCAGCGACTGGGTCAGGAAGATGCCCGCATCTGGGCCACCCTAGGTTCTTAGAAGTTGGAACCCGGGCCACTCTCCTGGCCACTTGCGGGGAATTGCTTTTCTCTGCAGCTACCTGCTGTCTGTCTCTGCCCCGCCACTCTCCTCCTGAGGGCTCCAGGCAAGATGGCTTCTTTTCTGGGCCGAGCAAACTGGTGTAGCCTTGAAAGGAGAGGGGTGATGGTTTACTCTGACATGCGTCCCCATTCCGTCCCAATCGCTCCAGTTTGGGGTTCCGCACTGTGGGTTTCCCTGTTCTGTCCCGCATCCCTGAGAGGAGTCCTGTGGGAGCAGTGTCTTCTTAGCCCCGGCTGTCCTCTGCAGCCTTGCAGCCCCTCCCCACATTGCAGCCCCACTACTTTGGAAAGGTACCTTGGCCCCAGGCCATCCCTCCTGAGACCTCCAGATGTCCATTATGGTGTCTTCTTACTGAGACTCCAAGCTTAGTCCCCAGGGACAGGGCCTGGGGACAGCACCTACTACCCATCTCTTAACCTTGCTTGGGTCACACTGGATGCTGCCTCCTTATCTCTTCTCCTGGCAAAACCCTACTCAGCCTGCAAGCCTTAGTAGAAACGGTGGCCAGGACATGGTGACTATCAAGACACATTTGGGGGATCAGGGACCCTAGCCTGAATGACATCACTGAGGACCCCGTGTGGGGACTCCTCCCCCTTTCAGGATGTATGCTCTCTCCCCTGGGACACAGATACCACCTGGCTCACCTAGCACCCCCAGACCTGTGGGCTCCAGCATCCATAAGCTGAGAACCCCCAGGGAAGCCAGGCTGACTCTCCTTCTTAGTGGGGGACACAGGCTTCCCAAAGGCATAGACTGTCAATGTCTGCTCATCTCCTCAGCCCTGACCCTGAGGGACCAGCCAAGAGCAGACAGCAGCCGCAGGAGGGAGCGACTGGCCTCAGACCCGGGACGGACGCACAGGCTAATCCCTGGCTGGCCAGGCGGCCTATCCAGGCTTCCTATTGTTGGCTCTTCTGATTGTCCCTTTATCCTTCTTAATCTCCCACGTGCACCCCTCTCCGGGCCAGCGCTCTGTCCTGCACATTCACCCCTGTAAGACTAGTTCCTTCTGATAAGGACCAGAGCTGGGGACATGCCAGGCTCCTGCTGTGCCCTTGTACACAGAGCAAGCAGGCCATGAAGAGCATTGCCCACCTGTGACCCTGTGCTCTGCAGGAGTGGGCTCCGAGGCCGGGTCCCGGCAAGGTGTCAGTGTCCACGAGTGGACATGAATGATGCCCTTCTCCTGGTGGGGGCCTCGGAGCAGGCAGGGCACTGACTGAGCCACTTGTTAAAGGAAAGGTCTGAAGCTTGGGGGCAGGAACTCCCCAAGACCACCCCTCACTGGGGGGCCCACCATTACCGTGGCCCCACAGGAATCCCCAGGTTGGCTGACATCTGGGGCACTCCCTTCAGACTTGTGGAGTCTCTCCTACAGCGTCTTCACTGTGGTTGGTGGAGTCTATAGAATCCCCCAGCATCATCAGTCATGTCAGGGCTGCTTTCTGCGCTTTCAGCAGGCTTCAGGCCACTGTGCAGGGGTGTCCCTGTCCTCTGCCTTTGAGCAGGCAGCAGGCCACCAGGCAGGGGATCTCCCTGTCCTCTCAGTGGGAGTTTTGGAAGCTGCATTCAGGGCTCTCAGCAAGACCTCCACTCTAGGCACTGCTGCTGTGGGTCTGGCCCTAAGGGCAAGCTGGATGGATGTGGCCAAGCAAATTGAGGTGGTCCCCAGAAGCACCTCTCAGTCCTGAGTCATGTCCAGACACCTCCCAGGAGGCTCAGGTCCCTCTTTCTGCAGAGGGCTAGTTGCTAGGTACCCAAGAAGGTCAGGAGCTGCCAGGGCCTCTCCTTTCTGAAAGTTGAGGCAGAAGGAACTGAAGGGTCAGGGAACAGGGTGAACTGCTGCACCCACCCCTGTGTCAAAGGCTTGTGTGCTTGTAAAACCTTGGACATGCAGCTGACCCCTTCATTGTACTTCAGCTGCCTTACCTGAATAAAGGGGTTTGCATGAGAATTCCAGAACTTGTCTAGGCCATGGTGTCTCTTCTCATGAGAGCTCTTAGTCTGGCATAACTGTGTGTCATTGGATGGCCTTCTAGTGCCAGGCCCAGGGTATAGATGCCATCCTTATCACTAGTCTCCACCCCGAGACATCAGGCAGGTGGGCCTAGGTGTGCAGGGTCTGGGTGTGGGACAGGGGCAGGCTGCTTGCATGCTTCTCCCTGCATGCTTCTCTGGGCCTGGATATTGCAGGTTGCACCCAAGGGTTCTTCCTAAGGATCACTTCAGATGGGCCCTGACTTTAGGGAGGTGAATAGTGAGGAGGAGAGTGAATAGTGTAAGAGATAAGGCTTTTTTTTTTTTTTTTTCCTATTTTAAATTAGATTTTTTTTTTCTGGTTTCAAAGGCTTATGTGCTTGTAAAACTTTTGAGAAGTTTAAAGAGGTTAAAAAAAAAAACCCAAAACAAAAAACTCCACCCACTCTTTCATAACTACACCCCTGTGTAGATAGAACCACCGTTGACATGTTCCGTGACTTCCAGGATTGTTTTTATGCATTTATATATGTTATATATTTTTAAACAAAAATAGTATCATGCTATATACATTATTTTATAAGCTTTTCCTTATTACTCACATAGTATATCTTTCCTCATCAGTGCATATAGGCCTTGATTTTTACACAGGCTACATAGATAGCATTCTCTGCTGTTGGCGTGCATGTATGTTTAACCGGTCCCCACAGGTGGACACTAAGAGTACTTCCGTATTGCCCAGGGCCATTCCTGTCATTCAGTCTCTGCTTAGAGCCCCACATGGACTCAGTTCCAAGAAGAGGTGGTGGCTCTGAGGGTCTGCATGTTATCAAGGCTCTGCTTCCAGATGGGTCATGCAGGTGACCACCATTCCCACAGCCAGTGTGGTGGGGGAGCAGGATGGATCCGGGAGGCGCCCCACTCTGACCCTCTACCTTTCTTCCCTCTAGGACCGAACCCATCAGAACCACTGTCTTCCAGTACCCCGTGGGCTGGCCGCCAATGCAGGAGCTGCCCCCCTCCCTGCGGGCACCCCCTCCTGGAGGATGGTCCCTACAGTCCAGAGTCCAGTGGGGCTGAGCTCTTCCCCTGATTTCTCCGCCTGACTTCTCCTGGTCACCAGTCATAGTAAAGACAGTTGCTCAACCTAGGAAGTGGAGCTGCCTTCCCACTGTCCCCCTGGAGCCTCTGAGACTATGAGCTTGGCCTCTCCACCCACCCACCATCCCTCAGGGCATATCTTGAAGATGGGTGAGAAACATCCAAATGTTTATAAAGAAAGTCTATCCTCGATGGTTTTGCTGGCACTCATGTTCTTGGCTGCGTCCTCCTGCCTCCGTCAGGGGACAGGTGGGCTGGATGAGACAAAATCCCCTCCAGGGTGTCCTTTGCTTACAGCCCTTCTTGCTGAGGGATCAGTAGAGGCTCAGCCAGGCCGGGCACAGAGCATGCCAATGTGGCTGTGGCCCAGATAGTAAGTGGCCCCAGGCTAGGGAAGGGAGCCCAAGGACTCTGCCAACCGTCTCAGCCCCTGAAGAGCTGCAGCCCTGCATCTGCCCGGGCTGTGCCTGTGCCAAGAAATGGCATGGCACACGTGGAACAGGGATGAGAGCTGGAGCTCCGGCCCTGAGGGTGCAGAGAAGTGGGACCCCCGAGAAGGCAGAGCCTGGACTTGGAAGAGTGGTCCTCTGGGGAGTCAGATCATCCCTCAGGAGCAGCCCAAGGCCTTCCAAGGTTGCACCCTGGCCAGTGGGGGTATCACACCGGCTCCAGGAGCTCTGCTTTCCTCCTCAGTTGGATTTCTAGGTTCTGTGCTGGGGGACAACTTGGCCCTTAGTCTCTAGGACTTTGGTGGAAGGCTCAGAAATTCGTGGGCCTTAGAGCTACCTCTGATGCCCGTCTTGTGTGAGCATTTGCCTTTCCTGAAAAGCCCTGTGGAAGAAGAATCTGAAACCAGATCTTAGCCCCTCAAGCCTCAGGCTCCTCAGCTGTGAAATGGGCAGACACAGGTGGATGGGAAGACTGGCTTTGGGTCTAAGGAGGGTCAGAGGACGGGACCCAGGACCCCAGTCTTGTGCCCACCTCCACCCCATCCACAGCTCTGGACATGAGTTTCTCGCCTGCCTAAAAGATCACAGCACTAACTGGATCCCAGGGACTCCTGTGAAGGCCCTCCTTTCCCAGGAGCTCCTGGGTGGTGGGAAGTTAACGCTACATACAGGCCAGGTGAGGGCACAGGCAGGGGATAGGGGCTAGCGCTGTCCTCAGAGCTACCACCACGTCCTCCACAGCCGGGCCATGGCTCCATGCAAGGCCTGTGGGGTGAGGATTGGGGTGGTCAGTGTCCAGGCTTGAAGTGCCTGTGGGTAGTGGCCCAAGGAGTAAGCTGGGGGGAAGGGCTGCAGGCAGCGGTCAGTGTGGAGTGAGCCTGGGCACTGCATGTGCCAGGCGGGCACTCAGTGGTGCCTATTTCATGCCACTGCGCAGCACCTGGTTGGCCGCGATGAGCATGACGCTGATGATGAAGGCGATGGCGAAGGCGCAGATCAGGCTCTTGCGCACGCACGTCTGGCGGATCTGCTGGTTGGAACAGGCTGCAGCCGCCCACCAGGAACACCAGGGAGAGACAGAAGAGGACAGCGAAGGGATGGAATCAGGTCTGCACTTTGGCACATGGACTTGACTTGGGGCAAACAAGGACACAAGGCTGGGGACCAGGAGCCCCCGTGCAAACCCCTGGAATGTCCCTCTGCTGAGCACTGGAACCCACCCACAGAGTCCCAAGGCAGGCCACTCACTCTCCACGTCCACAGGACACTCCTCGGCAGTGCCCAGGTGGCTCTCCTCTTCTGTCATGATGATGTTCTCGATGTCCTTCATGGACAGGTGCTCGCAGAAGGTGTCATAGAGGAGTCGCTTCAGCTCGTCCACCGTCAGCTTCTGCATGTCACACTTGGGTGGCAAAAGGGACAAGCGCTCTGGCCTCTACCCGCCACAGTCCCCACCCAGCACCCCAGAGGTACACAAGCCCAAAGGCAGGCCTCCAGATCCCATAAGACTAGAACCACCTAGTCCATTCCCCCAAGGAGGAGCCCAGGCCTCCAGGAGCAGGTCGTCACGTGGACAGTGGTCACCCCCCCTCATCACAGTGTGGGTCTAACACTCAGGCCCCTCAACACCTCCACACTTACATCGCAGAGTCCCCGGCAGCCAGGGCATACCTTCCAGAAGACAGTGTCAAAGTCAGTGCCGTGGAACTTCTCTGGGATCCCCGAGGTGGAAAGCTTGGGGCCCAGGAGTGTTACAAACTCCTCAAAGTCCACTTGGCCATCACCTAGAGTGGGCACAGGGCTAATGAATGGGTCATACTGAAAGCAGGATCAGGCATCCCAGAGTTCAAAAGACATGAACTGGAGTATTGGCCTGCCTCAGACCTTCCATGGCACCTCAGCCCCTTCCCTGAGCCTCAGTCAATTTCAGGGATGCCTAATAGGCCAGGCTCTGAGCTGGTGTTGAGGCTACCACATGTGATGGGGTCCTACTGGAGACTGGGGGAGGCGAGCAGCAGATGGTCCCCAGATGTGGGAGACTCCTAGTACACTCAGAACTAACTCTCCATGGCTCCTCAGCACAGTGCTGGTCACCCTTTCCGCCATCCCCATGGGAAATGAGACTCAGCATGAAGCCGGCTGCCCAGACTAGTGCCTGCTCCCTGGAGGGAGAGGAAAGGGGAAGAGATAACAGGTGGACTGAAGCAGGGGGGACTAATCATTCTTAGGAGTTTTTCTGCAATAAAATACCAGATGGCAAATACAGCCACCATTTGTTGGCGTGGTGGGAGCTTAGATATTTATTCCACCCTCTTTTTCCATGCTTAAATCTTTCTCAGACCACAGAGTGGGTGGGGCAGTCTTGGGCCCTGTGTGTAGCTGGGACTGTCACACCTCCTCTGGCCTCTACTTTCTAAGCTGAGGAGAGCTAGTAGATCATGACCACCCAGGAAGCAGGGGTCCAGAGTGCACTCAGCCTCCGTGGCTCAGACCCAGGGCCTAGGTGATGGTGGGCAAGTAAATCAAGGCAGGGCGTCTCACCATCCATGTCTAGCCGCTGGATGATAACCTCCAGCTCCACCTCGTTGGGCATGTAACCCAGGGAGCGCATGGCCGTTCCCAGCTCCTGCTTAGAGATGAAGCCATTGCCATCACGGTCAAACACCTTGAAGGCTTCTCGGATCTCTGTGGAGGAACAGAAGGCTAAAACCTCAGCCCTGTCCCCAAGAGCCCCTTGCCCAGATTTCTGGGATCGGACAGTCCCACTCAGAACCTAGAGCTCTGTTGAGAACCAGTCACAAAGTGTCCAGGACACACTCTTGGGGGCCCTGGACAGGCCAGGCAGAGGAGACAGGTGCACCTGGCCCGAGTCAGTGGCCACCATGGGTCTGGCAGGCCTCCTGGTATGCTCAGGACTACACCATGTGGTGCGCGCAGGGAGAAGACCAGATTGACCGGCCAGGTTAGCCGCTGGAGGCTCCCCACTTGGCATTATCTTGCCTCATCTTCCTGCTGGGCTTCCGCTCCCAGTTCAGACTCTTGCCTTCAGGCAGCACATGGTGGGATGGCCACATGACTCTAGCTAGTGAGTGATGGCTAGAATTCACGGGCCTCCTGGTTTAGACAAAATAGGTATAAAGGCTGATCCCACCAGGCCCAGGCATGTTCTCTGAGCTTCATGCTGTCCGTAGTACAGTAGGGAAGACTGAGGACCTGAGGGATTCTGGGAGGAACGATACATTTGACTGGGACCTTGGGACCAAGCAACTCAACATATGTTCTCAGGCCAGCCTTAGTCTCATCCACAGCAAATGGGTGCAATATGTGAGCATCATTGAAACAAAAACAGCAGGGAACATGGGAACCCTAACTGCTCACCTTTGCCTGCCTCCCACCCCCACCCCACCCCCCACCCCGTCTCTCTGTCTCTCTGCTGCTGTCCCTTGATTATCACACCCAGCAGGGTCCTAAAGAACATTTTCCCAGAGGAACAGACTTCAATCCATGAGACCCAGCTCCCAGAGGGCTCCTTGTTCACTTGGCAGCCTCCTGGCCGCTTTGTCTATGTTGTTCCCCTGGGTAGAATTTCACTCAGCAGGCAAAGTGAAGTCGTGTGTGTATGTGTGTGTGTGTGTGTGTGTGTGTGTGTGTGTGTGTGTGTGTGTGTGTGAGAATAAAGACACTGCAGACCTAGAATGGTTTATGGAGGCCAGGAGGTCAGCCTAGCTCGGTGTGGATTCAAGGCTACTACACTATCCTGCTAGTTACACTATCACAGGCCTGACGACTTCATAAGCCCTGAAATGGCTGTAAAAGCTCATACTTTCCCTGGCCTTAGGAGAACAGGGAGTGCAGGCCAGTCTGTTGGCCCCACCACAGAGCAGAAATCATGGCCCACAGAAAGGTGGCTTGGCCTCAGGTCCCGGTCCTCATCTGGCTCTTCCATGTGGGATTACATGAAATCTAGAGGTCAGAGTCTCACAGGCAGGCTGAGGTAAACATTGCCCCCCGCCCCACACACCTTAGGCAAGTCTTGGGGACTGGTTTCTGCATCAAGAGCTTTAGAGCCAAGAAAGTGGCTGGGCTGGTAGATCTGAGCCAGATCCAGGGGGTACTGACAACCCTGGACCCTAGTAACTCCAGGCCAAGTACCACCAACATTTTCCTGGGCCCTGAAGGAGGCAATGTGCCCCTTGTGGCCAGAGATGACCTGGCAGCAGCCAGGGCTGCTGCAGATGGGCTGCTGCGGAGAGTCCAGTTAATGGGGAGTGTCTGGATAGCTTGCGTTCCCCCCCCCCCATTTCTAACCACGCTGTCACCTTTCTGGACCGGTGTCCTGGACTCAGTCCCCGGGGAGCCTCTCAAGCTTGGGGACACCAAGACTGCTTTGAACCTGCAGCATGTTTCTGTTCCCATATCAAACTCAGATGTAGCCTAGATTCCCAGCTAGCATGATTCAGTCTCTCTGCCCCAAGCTGGCCTTGCCTTTTCTCCGGTTGCCCACCCCTCCACACATCTGCTCTTTCCCTAAACTGGATTGTTCTGGGACAGGTGGGTCTTGTCCACAGTGTCCCCATTACCTGGAACAGGGCCTGCCACTGAAGCATAGACATGCTGGGTGATGAAACTGACGTGGGAGCCGTCTCCTCGAGCACTCGGAGAGAGACTCAAGTAGAGGTTTATGCACCTCGGTACACGGTCTCTGGGCCACCCACAGAAGAGAGAAATAAAGCTGAAAGTGAGGGAACCAGGCACGGGTTGGTTTGGGGAACCTCAAAGTCAGAAATTGTACCCCTTGGAGAATGATGCCCATTAGGGAGCTCAAGGAAGCATGCCAAAGTCCTAGATCCAGTGGGGGCCGCTGTGGAAGCCACCCTCTGCTGTGAGCTGAGGTCTGAGCTATACTTCCCACCTTGGCAGGGTTCAAGGTGACTCCTCAATTGCAGGGATGCCTCCGTGCCCTTTTCTGAGGCCCCCGAGGAAAATGCACCAGACAGGAGAGACAATAACGAGCAAGTGACTCTCCAGGCATATGCTCAGGGGACAGGCTCTGAGACAACCGTGTGGGTACCAAAGACATCCCGGGCAGGGCTGACCTCCCAAGGCTACTGGGTAAACTCCCAGCTGTCCACTCTCCATCCACTGTGCATCACCCCCCACACACACAGCACACACACACACACACACACACACACACACACACACACACACACAGAGCACACCTAGCTCACACTAATGTTTTAGAGCACCAACCCAGCCCAGTCCACCTCCATCTGCCTACAGAGGCCCAGTTCAGGCATCATCTTCTCAGTCAGAGTATTCTGATGTGACAGACCCAGGTTTGAGTCCCAGCTCTGGCCCATCGTTGCTGTTTCCCTGTTCAATGGGACTTTCTGCAATGATGAAATGAGAAATCGTATGTGCAAGTGTTTGACCAAACCTGGCTTTGACGTGGCCATTGTAAAGCAGATCATCCCAGATGGCAGTGTGGAAAGGGAAAGGTCTGGGTGAACCTGGGATGCCAGGCTGGCCTGCCTGCTGCCTGGGACCAACACCCAAAGCCTGAGTTTGAATTCTAATTCTCCTGCTCAGCAGCCAAGACCTGGGCAAGGCACTTACTTCCCTCCGAGTCTCAGATGCCTCCTCCGCTGTGAGACCGGGGGGGGGGGGGGGGGGGGGGGGGGGGGTTCTTGTCCCATGGCTGGGGCCTGGCCTCTGCGAAGGACTCCCTCAAGGGGTGGGTGTCCGGGTGCCTGTCACTGTATGCCATGGACAATCACTGCATTCCCCGAAAGCCTTGCTCCTTCCCTACGCTGTGAGGCCAGGCAAAACTCATTGTACTCCATCTTGGCATGGGGATGTCTGGCCCGGAAATGGGCTGGCAGGACCTCTAGGTTTCCAGGCTGATATTGTCTCCTCCTTGCCATTTTGAACCTGACATCTCAGACCCTCCCCAACCTGTGGAGCTGCACAGGGGCCCGAGACTCCAGCAAACCCAAAAGGAAGCCAGCCCTCTGCCAGAGAGTTTGAGTCTAGATAGCTAGGGAACACTGGCAGGGGCAGTAGTCATCCTCTGTGGTGCCTGCCGTTCTCCGTGGCGTTGGCCCTGCGCCCCAACTCTCCATCCTCCCTGAATTTTTGGCCTGTGCAGAGGCAGCTGATGAGCTTGGCTTCAGGAGGCAAGGGCAAAAAGGGGGGTGGCCCTACACCAGTGCCCCCAATTGGCCACCCTCAACACAGGCTCAACAGTCAAGTGCCCGCCTCAGAACCCAGCTGCGTGGTCACTTGCCCCTCCCCTCTTTCTGGCCAGTCACTCCCAGGCCTGCCCTTCAATGCTGGACCCCACTGTCTCAGTGACCAGTCTGTCTTGGTGTTCCTGGAGGTCCCTGCTTGGATGCATTTCAGAACAGGGGTATGTTCCAACTATGGTGGGGTATTCAGGACAAATGTGGGAGCACACTTGCCTCTCTCACGGGCTGGGTGGGCCTCCAAGTTAACTCTGTCCATTCCTTTCCTCCTCTTGCCATAGCCATGCTCAGCTCCCAGGGCCACAGGCCCCCAGTCCTTGCCCCCAGCTTGCCCTCTTGGTCCAATGCTCATGCCCCTTGCTGCCTTGCCTCGTGGGCACTACATACTCCAAGCTCGGAAGGTGCTCTTCCTCAGCCTCCTCTGTTGTTACATTTGGGTCCTCAGCCCCCACTGCCAGGCCCTGTGCTGAGTACTCCCACGGCATTCTCTGCCACCATCCATCCTGGAAATGCCAATGCCAACCCCCTTTTATAGATGGGGAAACCAGGCCTCAGAGGCAAATGATTGTCCAAGTTCACTCCATGAGCCAAGTGTGGAGACTCGAACCTAGTGCCACCTGGCTGTTCTCATCTCACTGCCACATTCCCCTCCTCCCTTCCTGCTCCGGGTCCTCCTCCCCACGCAGGTCGACTGCCCCCCTGGATTTCTGCGGCAGGCAGGCACAAGGTGTCTGCAGCATTTCACTCCAGGCCACCAACTTCCCTACCTAGTCCGTGTGGCTCCCTCACTTCTAACGATGGGCCTGGGTCTTCCCCTGACTGCTCTGGGACAGGAATGCTAGTGTGTCCTGGAGAGGTGGAGGGGACAAAAGTAGCATCTGTACGAAGGACAGCCACTCTGCACCCAGCCCTGGCATTCAAGCCCGCTGCAAGGAGCCCAGGGCCTGGAGAGGGCCTTCAGGCTTTCAGCAGCCAAGAAGAATCATGGAGAACTTTCTGTCTTCATGTGTAGATTCCCACAGGCGTCTGCTGGCTCTGTGCCCTCTACCTGCCAGCCACGGGGATGGCCCTGTCCTTCAGGTGCCCCTGCACCAGGGCCCCTCTGCTAGCTCTGAAGGGGATCAGAGAGAAGCAGGGAGTGTGTCTGGTGCGTTGGTGACTAACGCCACTGGGCTTCTGCCAGCATGCCCGCTGGATGGCTCGGACGGATTGAGCCTCCCTGCCCTTGCACTGCCCACCCCTGCATGCCAGTCTCTCAGCTTCTCCCTATCCTGAGTGTGCACTCTAGGACCAAGGGATCAGGAGTGGAGGAACCTAGTGAGACCTGGAACTGTGGAGTCAGGGGCATGGTGGGGGTGCTGGGAGCAAACCTGCCCGGGGTCTGGGAAGACATGTTGCCTCTGTCCCAGGAATGAGGAGGAAGGGATGGATGAAGGCTTCTGTGTGGCCCAGAATAAAAGACAATAAAGTAAAGGAAAACTGGCCTGTGCCCTGTGCCCCTCCTGGCCCCTACCACCTCCCTCCTCGACCTGAAGGAGGCTCTGCTTTGGTTCAGACAGGACAGGACCTGGGTTTCACAGGGTGAGTGCTAAGGTCAGGTCAGGGACAGCATCCTTCCGTCTGTCTGTGCCTGTGATGAGACTGAGACCCCCTCTACGGCTTTTCCTGTACCTGAGTTCGTGGGGGCTGGCCGTGGGAAGCAGGTGTCTGGTGGCCTGTGGTGCAGTGAGCATGGTAGTTGCTTTCTCTTTCCACAGTCTACTCGCCCCAAATTTGCCCCAGACCAGGCCTGGGCTGAGGAAGGACTTTCCGAATGCCTCCCTACTGGGCTCTCACTACTGTCTTTTCCTGTGTCGCTCCCTCCAACGCACTCCTATGGGCTCAGATGAGACCCCAGAGTTGAAACCCCTCGACTCCAGGGATCGGGATCGGAGACAGGTCCATTCTCTGGGTATTATCAGCCCCTCCCCCAGCAGCCGACAAACATCCTAAGGGACCAAGATTCCCATCAGCTCAGAGTCCCCGACTCCACTCCATATGGGGCCTCAAGAGGCCTGGGGGAGGGGAATCATGAGCACACCCCCGCCCCCAATCTCAGCAGAGAAAGAGCTAGGGAGGCCCCAGGGGTCTCACTGCGCCCCAGGACACTCAGTCCCGGAACCCCAGCCCCTGCCTGCTGCGCCGATCTTCACTAGCCAACTGCCTGCGGTCCCTGTTCCCGAAAGGCAAAGGACTAGGGTCGGGGGAGGCTTGGGTTCCGGCCTCTGCCTTTCCCTTCCAGGCTTCGCTATCGAGACTGAGCCTCCCAATCCGGCCACTTGTTGTCGCCACCGCCTCCCGGCCGCTTCGGCAGCGCACGGGTGGGGGGTCCCTCGCAGGGCCGCAGAAGGGGATGAGGGCAACCCCGCACGCGGCAGGAGCGGGGCAGGAGCGGGGCAGTCGCCCTCTCCCCTTCTGCCGCTGCCGAAGCAGATTGGATTCTGAACGCGACACGAGCGGAATGTCAATAGGAGCGCAGAGCCACGGGCGGGCGCCGTGGAAGGGATCAGGATGCGGGCGCTCCGGCGGCGGGCGCGGGGGGCACAGTTCGGACTCCCCACTTCAGCCCCCGCCGCCTTGCCGCACCGTCACCGCGGGCCACGCGGCCCAGTGACCCCGCTGCGGGGCCCCGCAAGTTTCCGCAGCGCCGGGGGCCACGCGGGCAGGGGCCGCGCTGTCCCCCGCGCCGCGGCGACCCCTACCGCGGAGCCCGGAGCTACCGGGCCGTCCCGCCTCCCGCGCAGCCGCTCATCCGAGTCGCGCAGCAGGGTCCCCGGCGCCCCCCGGCCAGCCAGCGCGGCACCTGGGCGCACAGGTAGGAGGGCGCGTGGCGGGGGTCCCGGCGGGGCACTCACCCTCCAGCTCGTCCTCAGGGATATCCACCGGGCGCTGCTCTGACAGCAGGTTGGGCACGGTGTAGATGCCCCGGTACATCAACGCCGCCGTCACCGGGTGGAACGGCATCTTGGAGGCTCCGCGCCCGCCCGCCCGCCGCAAACTTTGAGGCCGGGGCTCATGGGCCGCCGGCGGCCCCGGGGGCGGCTGGAGCGGGCGGGGCGCGCGGGGCGGCGCGCGGTGGCGGCGGCGAGGTACGGGACACCCGCCCGGGACCTAGCGCCCCCGCGCCCCGGGCCGCCGGGCCATGCCGCCAGCTCCCTCGTCGGGCTCCCGGCTGGGGCCTCGCAGGGACAGCGGGGGCGGCGTCGCTCCGGCCTCTTGGCTCCGACCGCCCCGCGCTGCGCTCCCTCCGCGCTGCCCCGCGCGCTCCGCGCTGCTCGCCCGCTTGCTGGTGCGGCCGCCCGGCCCGCCGCTCCGGCTCCCGCCGCCGCCGCCGCCGCCGCCGCCTGCACTCTCGCTCGCTCGCTCGCTCGCTCTGTGCGGCGCTCGCCGCGCTCCCTCCTCCCCCGCCCGCCCCTCCCGCCCCCGCCCCTTCCCGCCGCCGGCCCCTGAGCGGCCGCCCCGAGGCTGCCCCGGCGCCTTCTCTCCCGTTCGCCCCGATTCTGCTTTCCCCCCAGTCTGCTTCGGATTGCTGTCTCCCGCACCCCACGTTCTCAGCCAGCGGGACCAGGGTGGTGTGGACTGGGGGTGGAGCTGTTCCTTGTACCCACTGTCCCACCTGCCCCCTCTAACCCTCCCCCAGCCAGCGCCGAGAGATGAGAACTAACGGCTAGAGACCCAGAAAGGTGAGGTTGCCCCAGGCGCGGGGTCCTCAAAACCAGTAATCCTCATGTTGGTGCCGGGTGAGGCTCCAAGGTAGGGAAACTGAGGCTTAGAAAAGGACGTTGGCCAAGGTCACCAAGCAGGGCCAAGCACAGATCTGCAGGAGACTCTACCGGCCTGTGGCTGACACCAGCAGTTGACTGGATCCCACACAGGGCTCTAGTCCTGGATCCTTTCTGAGCCCTTGCCACTCAGCTTGCAGAGCAGAAGCCAAGGTCTATCTCATGTCCCCAGGGGCAGTGAGGAGGAGACAGACGACCCAGAGCCTGTTGGTCACATGGCTGCAGGTTAGACCATCCTCGGGACTTGAGCATGTGTGCTACGGGGGTGGGAGCAAGTGTCTGAGGGTAGCATGTGCATGTGTTTATCTTTATCCTTCGTCCAGGACACTGTGTACATGCATTTTCAAATCCACATGCAGATGAGTGTCTGAAGTACGCATGACCACCTACATGTGCCAGGACAGTGAGCTGGCAGGGAAGGGCATAAGCCTGGAGGCAGGTGTGTGCAGGTGTGAAGGCCCTTGAGCTGGGAGTGGCATGTATATATGAGCAGAGATGCGTGTGTACATGTACAATTATGGGAGATGGTGACCCTCTGGCCTGGGTGGGCCTCAGCTGGCCTCAGTCTTTCTTGGAACCCCCGTCTGAACTATCTCCCTGCCCCCTTGGGTCCAATCAGCCAAAGGCCCCAGCAGGGGAGCTGATTGCCACCGCCCAGCCCGGCCATGCCCTTCTCAAGCTGATTACATTTTTCTGCTTGTTTCTGCTTTTGTTGATGATTAATCATAGCCCTGTCTTGGGCCCGGAGAGAGGGGGTTCAGTGAGAGACACCAGCCCCAGGCACCCTAGGCCAAGGCAGGCTTGAGTCTTTCAGCACTTGGACACGCTCTGAATCTCTCAGAGGCATATGAAACCTGTAGAGAAGCCAGGCAAACCCCAGCTGTCACCTGAGTGTCCGCCCCAGGCCTCTGGACCAGCTTGCTGCCTGCTCAGACCTGGGGTTGGAGCTGTAAGTACGCCCAGAAAAGCCCCCACCCCCACCCCTTGTCCACTTGCCCACCCACCAGTCAGCTGAATCCTCGAGACCCTTTAGGATTTCTAACGGAGCAGAGCCGTGACGCAGGAAGTACCAGCCACAGACTCAGCAGACGCTGGGCTCCTACATCTAACACCTTCTTTCTGTGGGACTTCAGTCATGTCCCTTAACCTCCCAGGGCCTCAGTTTCCCCACATGTGAGGTAAACGTGGCAAGGCTACTTCTCAGGCAAGGGTAAAAATAAAATGATTTAATGTGAATCATTTTTGACGATGTTCCCCAAATCTCTTGAAGTTTTCCCATTAGCACAAAAATCCCCCCCATGGGAACACGAACTAATCATCATAGTGTGAAGGATTGATTGAGGGGTATTCTGTAAGCGCCTCACTTGCTAAGCTTTCCCAGACAGTTTGCTACTGGGCTAAGGGAGAGGGTTGGAGCCTGCTGACAGACTAGCAGGAAGCAGACCTCTTCGTGCTTTCTTGGGAGACTGCCACAGTGGGACAAGGCAGCTCCCTCCGGTTCCCTGAAGCCCCTGGCCTCGCTGTCCAGCCAGGGAAATCTCAAAAGAGGCAGAAAGGAATCAAGAAAAAAATCAAGTGGACATCCTCCATACAGCCGGGCCCTGCAAGTCTGTGCTGAAGGTGCAGGTGGCCATGGATACAGGGGCTGACCCCCAGACATTGACCTTGGTCTGCATCCAAGGGATCAAGCTGTCCAGTCATGTGACCAGGGTACTCCCCAGAACAAGCACCCTCCCTGTCTACGTGGCAGGCACTCTGAGATGATAGCTTTAGCATCATAGTGTACCACCCTCTCTTGGGCAATCTTTGACATTTCAGTCCCCTGGTGACTCAAGCTGGTCCCTCCAACTCTCCCCTGATGCAAAGCCACAGTCCAGGACCCTCTAGCTGCTGACTCAGTGGGCTGCCCCTTAGCACTACACTTTCTGGACTAGTAGCTGTACCTGTTCCCCTTTGCCTGCTGGCTGGGGACATAGGACATACCTGGGCTATGCATGCAAACTGCCTGGTCCCTCTCCTCAATCCCTTGCTCCCAATCATAGGCAGGGGCGTGCCTGCTGAGGGAGCTGTAGAGACCAAATCCAGCTGTAGAGCCATTTGAGGCCGAGGCAGGGGCTCCCGAGGCCAGGCTCTGGGATGTGCTGGCCTCCCTGCTCTTCTAGACTCTGGGAACTCCTGTCAACCTCCTCCCCCCTCCAGTGCTGTGTATGACATTCAATAGACAGACCCCATGTGCCCAGACCCTGCATTTGATGCCAGTATGACGGCAAGGAACTGCTCGTGCCAAGGGCCCACAGAGCAAGGGCCACAGGCTGCAGGGTGTGCCCGAGGCTGAAATCTGCTGTCTGATGTAGGTGGGTAAAGCTTTTACAGAGGGGCATGGAAGCAAGACTTCAAAAATCTCAGGGCATGGGGGCAGGAGCAGGATGTGTTGAATAGTCAGAATTCTAGGAGGCAGCGCTCACCAGCAGGGGTCCTCCTTGAGCCTCAGCTTCCTCATCTATTAAATGGGAGCACATCGAAGTGTAGAACGGCAAGATTCTCGTTTCATCAAGCCAGGAGAAGTCTGGTGTGGAGTGAGGAGGTTAGAGGTGTGAGGTTACTCTTAGCTTTAGAAGGCAGGCTCTGGGGGCTGGAGAGAAGGCTCAGCGGTTGAGAGCACTGTCTGCTCTTCCAGAGGATCCGGGTTCAATTCCCAGCACCCACATGGCAGCTCACGCCTGTCTGTAACTCCAGTTCCAGGGGACCTGACACCCTCACACAGACACACATGCAGGCAAAACACCAATGCACGTAAAATAAACACAAAAAAGGCAGGTTTGAGTCTGCATCCCTCAGGTTCCCCGTGTGTGGGCTGGGGCTGGGCTGGACTCGGGCAGAGGAACATGAACACCTGTGAAGTGAATAAGAGAGTGGATGGATGAACGACAGTCACCCAGCTGCCCTGTCCTCTCTTCACATCAAGGGAGCAGACGGTGCGGTGCGATCACAGGGTGTGAATTATGTCTGTCGCTCCCAGCTGGGGGAAGGAGTTACTGCCATCACACTGCGTTCCTTCAGGGCCCACTGGGAGATGCATGGGCCCCAGGCCTGCCCAAGGGGGTCTCCTGGACCTCAGGGCTTAGCCTCCGCCAAAGAGGCTGGGGAGTGCGGAAAGGTGATTCACTCACTGAAAGCTGAAACCAACCGTTGGTTTTCTCAACAGCCCTCCAGCGAGAGAGGAGGAGCCAGGGTTCACCAAGTCCAGACGCTGACCCCTTCCTCCCAAGGGCAGCAGAGTTCCTGCCCTGCCTAAGCCAGGGCCCTTCCTTCTGGGCAGTGGAGGCCTCTCTTTTCAAGATAACACACTCCCTGGCTGGACCTGCACTCTGCCGCCCGCTGCCGCTTGCCACCCACGTTCAGCACCAGGGAGAGCGCCCAGCAGAGCTTTGGCAGGCCCTGAGCTGAAAGGAAATGGTGTAGGACCCAGGAGAGCCTGCCAAGACAACCTGAACCAGTGACCAGAGGAAGCCAAACTTGAAGGAAGGTAAGCACCAAGGTCATGTCTGCACCATTGGCCACAGTCAAAGGCCTGACTGGAGAGAAGCTGTGGGATAGAGAGGCACAGGTTGGGGAAAGGGGGTGTCTAGGGACAGCAAAGGCTCTGGCCTCTGCTCCTTGGCTAGAGAACAACGTTGTTCCAAGAACCCAGTGGGGACAGTGTCTGGAGGTGACTAAAATATTCATTGTCCAGGCACTCACTTGATGAATAATGGCGTTTATAAGCTTGCAGACTCAGGCTGGGCCAGGAGAGGGTGCAGTCCGGAACCTGTGGGCCCCGTTTTCTCTGATCCCTGTCCTGTACGGAACACCCCTCTGAGCCTTCAGTCCAGCTCCTGAAGGTGATAGGATCAAACATGACCGCATGAGGGACACCAGAGAGGGCAGTCCTTAAATCTGTTGCTTTTCCAGAAGCAACTTGAGGATGGAAAAGCACCTGGAGGTGTGGGATTCAGGGTGACTGTGATGAACCCTGACTGCAGGTTGTCACTGGCTTTGTGCCCTGATGATGGCAACTGTCTTGGCCTCAGTTTCCTGTCCTGTGAAATGGGCTCATGCTGCTAGCACACAGAGTAATGAAGGTGAGGGTAGCTGATGCCCCATCCCTGGCTCTAGACTTCCTGAGCCTATTCTCTGGCTCCCATGATCCTTTGGGCCTAGGAGTGGCCTCACCTAGCTGTACTGAGACAAGCTAAATGACAGAAGAGATGTGATCACAGATGGAGAGACACTTACGACCCTCAGGGCGAGGTTGGCCCTCAGTAACCATAGAAACCTAGCCCACCAGACACACGTTCAGGCATTCAGCCCCTTAGCCTGAAAAACGCTGCTTGCACTGGGTGTACTTTTAAGGCTCAGTGGAGCCTCCCGGGGAATGGAAAGAAGACTGGAGGGGAAAACGGGAAAATGATTAGAGGTGGAAGAGTTTGGGGTGTCTTGCCCAGAAAGCAACAGGGACCCCAGGCCTCAGTATTCCCCTCAGGAAAGTGGGAGCCTCTGGTTGGGGACTGGTAGAACTACAGGCTGTGAGGCAGCATGGGAACCAGGACTTTGGAAGGAGGGGAGGGAACCATGGTGTCACCAGATGGGCCTTTGCTCTGAGTTCCCTTCCAAAGAGAAAGCTGTATCTAGGGGAGATGAGGCACAAGGTGGGTGCTAACAGCTCTGGGCCTCCCAGACTCCTGCTTCAGTCTGTTGCTTATAAGTGCAACCAACTGTCTGAGGTACCTGATGGGTCCATCTCAGGCCAATCTGGTGCCACAGCTGCACCCGGGTGACATGTCAGTGGAAGTTACCTCTTCTGGACAGCCCTCCTCTCCTCTTCCGGTTTTCATGTGACAATAAGGCTTATCTGGGTGCTGAGGTGTGCAGACCTATGAGGTGAGGATCTGCACCCTGGAGCTGTAGAGTTTGGCCTCATCCTCTGGGGGCATCTATAGAGCAAATCATTGGATCTCTAAGGGTCTGGGTACCTCCCCTGGGAAAAAGGGGGAGTCCAGAAAAAATAAGATATGAAGGGATTGATCCTAGGGTCCAGGACAGCATAAACATTTCCATGGCAGTCCTCGATGTCAGGGACCTCAGGTAGACCTGCCTTCACTGCCTGGCTGCATACCTCCAGGGACAGGGCTTTCTGCCCAGAGGAAGTGGCCAGCATGTGCCTATTCCTGGACTCTGCCTTTGTATGCAAAGACCTCTCCTGTTTCCACACAAAGCACTGAGGGCCCTAAAGGAAGACCTGTGTGTTCCCTGGGATAGGCACAGTGCTAAAGTGTGAACACCCATCAGAGTGGCGTTCTCTCCTCATGCGAGCCTGTGGGCAGAGAAAGAAGTCAAAAGGGCTCAGAGCAGACGCAGCGAGGCCAGAGTGGAGATGAGTTCCCTGTCCCTCATTCCATGGCTCGGTTACTGAGATTAGCCTGGCATCAACCCAGGGCACAGAAGAGAGAAATGCTTTGTTCACAGGGAGTGTGTGAGAGGTGAAGATGAGACATTGCCTCTGGAGGAGCTGGGCTCGGGAGTCCCTCAGCTTCTGCCGCCACCAGATCTGCGTGACACTAGGTTACAATCCTATGGAGTTCCCAGTGAAGGGAACTGGGGTAGCTGGAGGTGTTGGGGATGGTAGGTGGAAAAACTTCTTCCAGGGCCAAGCTAGGTCTCTGTCCCTCACGGCCCACAGCACCTCATCATGTTGAGCCTAAGTGATGATAAACCAGCTGCAGTTTAACTGGTAATTAATCCTGGACAGGGCAGCAATGGCGTTACTAATTGGATCGTTAGAGATTTCTGCTTTATGGCTGCGTAATTAGAGAAGCTGTAGGGGGCCAGGGTGAACTGGAGGGGGGCATGTGAGGTTGGGGGCAGGGCACAGCAGACAGCACCCCTTACCAGGCCATAGCTGGCTCACCGCAGGGCCTCTGGTCTGCTCACCTTCCATGGTGGGGCTCTAGGTGTCTGAGTAGGGGGGCTGGCAGTAGCCCTACATGCCACCTCTCTGAAGTCTCGACTCCATCACGTTGGCAGGTAAAGATTTTTGCAAAGTACAACTTAAGAGGAACTCCCTAATCTCATAGCCCAGTTCTGTAGGGGCAGAGGGACACTTCTTTATATCCTCCAGACTCACAGGGCTAGCTACAAAAGGTCCTCATCTGATTGCTTATTGTTACTTTTTGTACAGTGCTAGGAAGGGAGCCCAGGGCCTTTCACACACTGGACATGCTAGCTACCACACATTCCCAGTCCCCAAAGGAAGATTTTAGAATAGGGAGGGCTCTTATGTCCACTCTCTGGGTCAGTCCTCAGCAGAAGACATCCTTAGGTGTGCTCTATGATTAATTTCTCATACACGCGTGTGACACATGCTGACCAGCCCTGGATACCACCATGTGGTCAGTTTTCATGCACACATGTGAACCATGTGTGGGGGCCCTGGCTCCTGGCCCAGGCTGATGGGATAGACATTGTAAAATGCATTGTGGGAAATAGAAAAGGGGTGTTCCTTAGATTGAACTCACAAAAAAATCTAAAACAGTACCTGGCACTCAACAAATATTTGCTGGATTAACTGATGAAAAAAAGGAGAAAGAAGGGGAGCCTAGAAGACAGACCATTGGGCCCCTGTCCTCCAGGCCCTACCCCTTGGGCCCCTGTCCTCCAGGCCCTACCCCTTGGGCCCCTGTCCTCCAGGCCCCGCCCCTTGGGCCCCTGTCCTCCAGGCCCCGCCCCTTGGGCCCCTGTCCTCCAGGCCCCGCCCCTTGGGCCCCTGTCCTCCAGGCCCCGCCCCTTGGGCCCCTGTCCTCCAGGCCCCGCCCATTGCTCCTTCAAACTCCCACCTGTCCAAGTTGAAGTGCTCACAAGGCCAGCAGCGCCTCTTTCCTCACCCTCATCCTCTCACTGTCCTCTACAGACTCCCGACCCTTACCTGTTCATGACAGAATTCCAGGTACTCTCCTGCCTCAGGGCCTTTGCACGTATTGGGTCATCTGCTGGAAATGCTCTCTCTTTGGACCCTTTATGGCTCACTCTTTCAGGTCTTAACTCAAAAGTCAAGGTTCTTTCTTCCTTCCTTCCTTCCTTCCTTCCTTCCTTTCTTCCTTCCCTTTCTCTCCTCCTCTTCTTTTTCTTTAAAGATTTAAAAAATTTTGTATTTATGTGTGTGTTGGGGTATGTGCGTCACATGTGCGCAGTGCCTGCAGAGGTCAGAAGAGGGCATCAGATTTCATGGAGCTGGAGTTACAGGTGGTTGTGAGGTGCACAGTGTAGGTACTGGGAACCAGGCTCTGGTCTTCTGAGGAGTGATCTCAACTGCTGAGCCATCTCTCCAGGCCCCAAAGTCACCTTTCAGATGGTCCTTCTCTTTAAGCTAACCAAGCAACCAAACAGACAAGTGATGCTTGTCCTCATCCTGATCAGAGCACATCTATCAGTGTGACCCACAGCAGACACACGGACCTTTCTTGTCTGGTCTGATTTTGTTCACTGCTCTAATGATTGTTGAATAAAATGAAGGACTTGAGGCTGCTTACAGAAGTGTCCCGGGGAGGTGAAGTCGTGTTGTGGGGACTTGGGGGCTGAGCAAGGGCTAGAGTTTGACATGGGACAGGGTGGTTAGGATACCCCTGCCTGGGGTCTGTTCCCACTCCTCAACCCCCAACAGCACCGTGGCAGGAGACGGTGCCCCAGCACCCTATGTCAGCAAATTACTTGGGAGAAAGGGTTTGGGAGATAAAAATCCTGCCCTGCCAAATAGGGCAGCTGCCACCTTCAGCCAGGTCACCCTGTGGGATCCACCTGACTTTATTTTTCATTTATTTATTTATTTTTTCCTGAGACAAGGTTTCTCTATATAATAGTCCTGGCTGTCCTGGAACTCACTCTGTAGACCAGGCCCCCTCGAACTCCCAGAGATCCACCTGCCTCTGCCTCCTGAGTGCTGTACCCCCTCCACCTGACTCCTTTACCTCCTCCCATAAACAGCCGCATCTGGATTAGGCCTTGGGGCCCCAGGATGGCCCCTCCTTGGCAGACACTAGACCTTAGGTTGCAGGGAGGAACCGTAGTGGCTGAATACCCTCCTGAACACAGGTGAGTAGTGCTGAGCCCAGCAACACGCTGCCCACCTGCCTGGTCTGGCCGCCTCAGCGTGGCCAGGTGATGTACGACCCACTGCCCTGCCAGGAAGCGACAGCAGATGAATGGGCAGTGCTGGGGAGCAGGCTCAGAGCCAGGTGCTGTGAACAGTAGGAGGCAGGCGCCTGGCTCGGGAGAAATCATTCCGGGAACGTCACCTCCCTGACCCAGGGCAAGATGGGAGGCAGGGACTGTCTTGGGCATGATGCCCATTCACTCGTCTTTAATGTGGGCCAGTGCAGGGAGTGAGTGTTGCAGGGGGGTCTTGGCCCCAATTTCCTTGTCTATAAAATGGCCAACAAGGAACCACGAGGAGACGTGGACTGTCCACTGAGAGACAGCCCCCAGACTCAGGTCTGCTGCAATCCAACACTCCTGGCCCCTAAAAAACACTGCTTCTTCCTCTCTACACCTCCAAATCTGAATCCCTCCCTGGGCTTATGGAGAATCAGGCCTGGATATTCCCTAATCCCCTCCCTCCCATCTTTCAAATGGGAAACCTGAGAAGAGGACTTGGCAAGGTCAGGGCCAGACCTTAGGAGACTCCTCGAGGTGGGTTTTGAAAGGATCCCTCTCCACACTGTGGTCCCTGGGTGCTAAGTGCCAGCTGCCTTTGCTGCCCAGCAGGGGTAGGGAACAATCAGGGCATCACTGGGTACAGGGAAGGGGGCTGGGGGCCAGTGCAGCTGCTGTGACCGAGTTGTGATGCGCCAGACGCCTCTGTGAGCTCTGTCTGCATCCAAGGAGACCAGGACATCCAGCGGACGATGTGTCCTTGCAGGCAGGGCCTGGAAAGGGATGAGGAGGGGGGTCATTCTGGGGACCCAGGCTGCTTGTAGGGCCAGGCAGTGTCTCCTGCCATCTGTCCCTTACCTTGTTCCCCAGAGTATTCTGGACACTATGGAGCCTCCAGTGACTGTGGACATGTGACACAGGTGTACACAGATGGGCCTAGGTGGTACAGACACAACTTGGTGGCTGGGATTGCCCACAAACATGCAGCCACTGGACATTTGATGGGGGTGTATGCATGAAGAGTCTGACATCTGGATCCCAAGAACCAAGGTGTTGGCAGAACAGGTGTGGATATGTGCACCAGGGTGAGTGTGCATGCTCCATTCACACCTGGATGGGTCATGTTTGTTGCACACATATGTGTGAGTACACACTCAACATGCACTAACGGGCTGCTGAAACAGCCCCAGGCGAGATAAAGAAGGCCAGCCCCCATTGTCAGATAGGGAAACTGAGGGCAGAGGCCTGGCTCAGGTTGCTGGGATTCTGCGTAGATGTCTAGGTAAGTGAGCCCTGCTCTGTCCTTTGCACAAGGTGGCAGTCAGGCTAGAAAGTGTCCCTCCCGTGAGGGCTGGGGAGATGACTCATCGCTAAAGAGCACTGGCTGCTTTTCCAGAGGACCCAGGTTCAATGCCCCGACCCCACATGGTGGCTCACAACCATGTGTAACTCTGGTTCCAGGGGATCTGACATCCTCTCCTGGCCTCCATGGGTACCAGGCAGACATGTGGTGCACACACATACATGTAGGCACCAAGGTAGGAAGACAGGTCCTACAGGAAGGCTTTGGCATTAGAGTTGGGCAGGGTTGCTTGAGTCCCCTGCCTGAGACCACCTTTGAAAAGGGGACAGCTCACTCGGTCCCCAGTCTCTTCATTTGTGGAATGGAGTCCCCATCCCTCCCAGCCTCTTGATGGACAGAATTGGTGAGGTCTTAAATACCACATCCTTCCGTGAGTCAGGGCTGGGGACCGAAGGTCACCTTAGGGACAAGGCGATGGTCCAGAGCCGTATCCTAGGCTGCACCCTGCACAGGCTCTCCTGCTGGACTGACATCTGGGAGAGGAGAGGAGCTTGAGGCGGGGGATGAGGACACTAAAGGGATGTGAGGCTGGGCGGCAGGCCTTCTGGTTCAGTTAGTGAAAGGATTTGTCATTTTAATGATGTGATATTTCTTGCCTGGCTCCTGTCAGTGGTAGCAAGAGGGGGGACAGCTGCCTCTACAAGTGAGAAGGTGCTGGACTGGTGGGGGCAGGCTTGATACCCACGTCTGTCCAGGCGGAGGTGGATGAGGCTGGAACTGAGGGGGTGGAAGGACCAAGAGCTTTAACTTCCAGCCCAACTCTGCATGTTGCTGTGCGACCTTGGGCGAGTCCTTCTCCATCTCCAAGCCTGCTTCATCTAGACCGGGACTGGTACCCCAGCTCCCGGCACAACCACTGTTGATTCCAGGCAGATCCCCCATCTCCTGATCCCTGCTCCATCTCACTACCATGGTCTGGCATTCGTCATGTCCTTCCTCATTTCTAGGACTTCGTAAGATCTGCTCATCTACCTGGTCTCCTGTCAGATCCGAGGAGGTGTTCAGTCAGCCCGTCTCCTGGTCACTTGGTGACTGCTAATGTCCTACTCTGTTGGGCTTAGCACTGTGTTCCAGCACACAGTAGGGCCTGGATAAGTATGTTCCTTGAATGATTGAATGAGCAGCCCCAGACCTGCCCTCCCGATCCGCTAGTGCGGCTTCATGAATGCAGGTGGCAGTGAGGGTGGCCTGGTGGGCGGCCTATCCATCAGCCTGGCAGTGTGCCTGACCAGATGGAGCTGAGCCCCTGGGGGGAGGGAGAGGAGAGGATTCATCACCCACAGTAGGTGGCAGGCGTGTGGGCGTGCCTATCCAGCCTCTGGTGGGATCCCCATCCATCATGCTGTACCAGGGACTCTCTGCGGAGGTGAACAGGCTAAAGAAGGCTTCTTAGGGTGGGTCCTCCAGTGGATTTCAGCTCTGTGGTACAAGGGGAAACTGAGACCTAGAAGGTAACAGAACTTCACAACAGGGGCTCTAGGGTGAGACCAATGAACATGTGAGTGACATCTCCGAGACTCATTTGTTTGACCCTTGGGGAGTTTCTGAGAGTTGGGGGCCCCCCTCTCTGTGGGAAGCAGTTTTATGGAGAAAAATGTAGCGCCTGGCACACAGTGTTCAGGCCAGGTCATGCCCCCGGGCTAGAGGAGGAAGAGGTAGGTGACTTCAGTGGTGGGGCCAGTGGATCCAGGCAGGGCCACCACCAAGGGGAAGGAGACTTTGATGGATGCTCTTCCTGCCAGTGAGGCTGGGGGAGGGTCAGCTAGTGCTGACCAGGCCCTCAGTGACCACAGCTCAGCTGGCTGACCAGCTGGCCTTGCCCAGCCCCCATGCCCATTTTCTGGGAACTCACTGTCTCCTCCTCAGCCTTTCGGAGCCACTGTTTCCCGTGCTGCTCAACGACCCTCCAGCCTGAGATCCTCATTCCGCCGGCCAGGACTTACCAGCCAATAGGTACCAGACACTCCCATGTGCGGGACTTTGTGCTGGGCCAGGGGGCTCAACAAGGCAGCAGGCCTGGGCCGCTTGCTTGCCCTGAGCACTGGGGCGGTTACAGGTGGGTCTGAGCTGTGCATCAAGCATAGGCCCGACAGATTAAGGAGAGTGTTAGGAGACATTAACCCTTTGGTGAGACAAGCTCCCTGGCAGTTACGGGCATTGCTCAACACCAGGCGCCATGCATGCACTTTGTGGGCATTATTTCATTTACTCATCCATGACAGACTTTGATGGTTCTGGTTTCCAGCTGAGCAAACCCAACTTCAAGGAGATAACATGACTTTTGGGGGACCCTGCAGCTGGAGGGGAGCAACATTTGAGCTTACACCTTGTGTTCTTTTCTTCCTACCAGGGCGTCCCGAGACCACTGCTGCTGAGAGCAGGGCAGGCCTGGGACTGTCCCTCCAGAACCCGATGCTCCCTGGACAGTGCGGGTCGTCCTGGACCTGTCCCCGGCTGCTGAGTCCCCAAGAGGATTGTTGTCCACATCTGGGTAACTCAGAGAAAGAACTCCTGCCCTGTGGGGATAGAGTGGTTTTCCTCTGAGGCTGAGTGCAGGATGAACCCAGGCATGGGAGGTAATGGGGCTCAAAACAGCTGTGAGAAGTCACATGGGCCCCGAGCCTATTCCCTCCCATAATACAAATGAGCAGAACACACAGGACCCTTCGGGGTCTCCCATGATGCCTCAGAGGATCGAAGCAGGTGCTGCTGCAGCCTTTGGGCTACCGTGTACACAGTGTCCAGGCCTCTCCTGGGACTGCCACAAGGATTAAAGCTTGATGAAGAATGCAAAGGCTGCTGGACACAGTGGTGCGTGCCTGTAACCCTAGTATTGAGATCAATCCATGTGCGTCTATTTAATAGGTGATAGGGATTTATTAAGACATAAATTGAGGAAATACACTCACGAATACAGAACGGAGTAGACAGCTGAAGTTGCCCTCTAGTCTGACCAGGAGCGAATCCACCTCGCAGGCAGGTAACATTCCCCTTCTCCCTCTCCTTTTAAGAAATCCCATACAATGGCAGGAAGCACTGTCTCCCATATAGTCCAAGATCATGGGCAGAGCAAATACCACTACACCTTAGCACTAGGGAGGCAGAGGCTCTGCGTGTTCGAGGCCAGCCTGGTCTACATGGTGAGTTCCAGGACAGCCAGGGCTGCCTAGTGAGACCTTGTCTTAGTGCAGAGGCTGGCCATCAAGGTAACTCAGTGGGCAAAAATGCTTGCCAAGCATGCTTAATGACATGAGTTTGATTCCTGGAACCCACATAAAAATAGAACTAACTCCACAAAGCATACTGTGGCATGGGCAGCCCCCTCAGCCACACATACACTAATGATAGTAATAATAATTCATAATGACAAATTAAAATATTATAATACAGAGTCTAGGTATGTGTGATGCACACCTATAATCTGAACACTTGGGAGGGCATTTGAGTCTGAGGCAGTCTCGCTACATACTGAGTTCTGGGCCAGCTGGGGCTACATGGGGACACCCTATCTCAAACAAGCAAGCAAGCAAACAAACTGTATTACGCTGAATGAATGATATGAATTTGTAATCCCAGCACTGTGGAGGCAGAGACAAGAGATCAGGAGTCTGAGGTCATCCTGTCCATTGCAAGTTTGAGGCCAGCCTGGGATATATGAAATACTCCCTAAAAATAAAACTTAAAAAATGCCAAGGGAAGCCGGGCGGTGGTGGCACACGCCTTTAATCCTAGCACTCGGGAGGCAGAGGCAGGCGGATCTCTGTGAGTTCGAGGCCAGCCTGGTCTACAAAGCGAGTTCCAGGAAAGGCACAAAGCTACACAGAGAAACCCTGTCTCGAAAAACCAAAAACAAAACAAAACAAAAAAAAAAAAGCTAAGGGCAACACAGGCTACTATTGTCATTAATTACTCTTACATTTCTCAGGCCTGACCAGAGCGGGTGTTTAGGAGACAATGGTCTTGATCGCATGAACACAGGGTCTGTGCTAGGATGCGGAGGAGGCTTGGGTGGTGTCTGGATGGGCTGTGAGGAACTGGGGGAGCCTGAGGAGGGGCTTTGCTGTCCAGCTAGTGGAGCAGGGAGACTCTAATGAAGTGAGTTAGCTCCGGGCCACACTGATTTCACGTCTCGATGGCCACTTCTCAGCTGGTAAATGTCACTGGAGAGCAGCAGACACTCCTGGCTGCAGATGGGGGTGGGTCGGCTGCCAGAGGGGTTGAGGATGCCCTGGGAATGCTGATGCAGAACCAGGGTCCCCGTCCCTGTGGCTTCCAGGACGGCTGCACCCTCTAGGCTGTAGTTCTGTCACCAACTCGGGGATGCTTGTAACTGCGGTACTGATTCTGACCCTCCACAGCGCGAACGAACTCCAGGCTGCTTCTTGGCTGGCCAGATTTACCGCTTTCTTTGCCTTGCAGAGGTTCCAAAAGGGGGGCCCAGCTGCCTTGGGCTTCTGAGTGGGAAGGAGAAGCATGCGGAGCTCTCTGGGCCCATGCTCCGTCTTGAGCTGTCACCCTCGATGACTGATCCAGGACACGCAAACAGTACACAGCCATAACCACACAGCAGCCAGCTTCACTTAATACACTCTCGCTGCAGCAGGCGTTGGCTCAGAACCAAGGCTCCCTGATCTAATGTAGCCCCAGGAAGAGCCTGTAGTGGGCTCAGAAGTGACTCCTGTTGGAAAGGGATGTGTAGCTGAGGGGCCAAACAGCAATATGGGCCAGAGCATCCTCACACGGTCCTTGTGGGCCCCAGCCTTCCATCCAGCCCCTACTCAGTATATCTCAAAACAGCCTCCTGGGGTGGGAGTTTGCTCTGGAGGTCGGGTTGTTGTTTCTTCATGGCTCATTGGCCTATCCTGGATAGGGAAGCTGCAGGGGAAAATGGGGTTCCCTGAAGATTTGGAGGCACAAGACCACCCATCTCAGATAAAAGCAGAGGGGAGGCATTCACTTGCCACTGTACCCCTTTTCTCTTCTTCCAGAAACCCAGTCTCCAGGTCTAAAACCTGCAAAGTTCAGCCCAACTCATACCTGTCCCAGACCCAACATTTCCTATGCACATGCCTGGGTTTCTCCCAGAGGAGCTGGGAGCAGTGGCCTTGGGACTGACATGAGGCAGCCAGCCAGGTCCCCCCAGAAAGCTGTGATTTCCACATGGAGAGCTCACTGGGGGTTCAGCCAGTGAGCACCCTCCCTGAGTTAGTGGTAGGCAGTTCCTACCTCCTGGCATCCCCCACCCCAACTCTCTTCCTTTCCCTTCTAAACTTGCTCTTTAAGGGGCTGGGCCCCAACTATGGATGAACCAGCCACAGCAAGGCCCACTGAACATTGCTGGTAAAGTTGCACCAAGACCCCAGAGAGACAGCAGCATGCAGCTGTTTTCCCCAGGAAAACGCAGTTCCCTTGGGAGCTGCTCCCGGGCCCCTCATTCTTGGCATCCCCACGTGGAGAGGGGAGCCCTGGAATCCCCTGCCACTCTTCCCCTTCCTTGGGAAAAGAAGGAGGAGGAGAGAAAAGCCGTATTAATAAAAGAATAGAATGCTGCAACTAACTCCTTGCTGGTGTGTGCAGCCCAGAATAGCAATGGGCTTTCTCAAGGCAAACAGAACTCCCCAGGTGTTAATGCAAATTCACTCGCTTAAGATGAAAGAGGGTTGTTTCCCCCTTCGCTGGTTAATATGAAGGACTTAATAGATTCAGCCTAGGGAACTGGGGATCTCAGCCTGGGAGCTGAAGGCAGGGAGGAGGGAGGGAGGGGAGGGATCGGGCGTGGTCCCCCGTGGGTTTCAAAGCAGAGCAACTGTCATAGCAGGGCAGGCTGAGGACTCAGCGCCTGCCACCCCCATCCTCCATCCTGACTGACAGGAAGGACCTGGGACTCGAGAGGCAGAGCACTGGGAAAGTCTGGAGTGGCCATGCCAACCTTCTGTCTCCATTAATCTGGGGGCCTCTAAGGCCCCTTCCCAAGCGGTGCCAAGAGAGTGTAGGGCTAGGAGAGAAAACGGGGTGAGGTGAGTATTCTTAACACAGGCCAAGCTGGCTGGGTCTAGTCCAGCTCTATCGTTCTTTTATTTCCCCAATGGTGACACTCTTGACAGAGCTGAGGAAAACCAGGCTGTGAAACTGAAACTTAGGGGATCCCAGAGTTCATGACCTTGTACAGCTAAGGCTCAGGAGCCCAGACAGGAGACAAGACTTCCTCAAGTCTATACAGCTAAAGCAGCGAGCTGGAGGGATCAGAGCCCAGCCTGCAGCAGCTCCCTGGGGCTTTCTCTGTCAATCTCTCCTCCCAGCCTGGAGACCCTCAGGCCTGGACTAAGCCACACAGCCCAGAGCATTCGAGCTTTTCCTGCAGCCTTCCCAGGGCATCACTCTCCACGAAAACTACTCACTCACTCAGGACCTCCAGAGAGGAAAGAGTGAAGCGGCGCCGAGCGATGCTTGGCTCCCATAGGTGAGTGCCCGGAGCCCTAGAGGGGTGTCACTTGGACTCAGCTGGGGATACAGAGAAACTTGGAGAGAGCCCAGCTGTGCTGACCCAGTGTCGGTTAGAACCTGACTCTGGTCTCTCGGGTAAATGGCACAGCAGGTACCTGTCACAAGACACCACAGCCCGCTCTTGCTTTTGTTTACTGACTTAATTCCTTCAGATCAAAGGCTGCCCCCTTCCTCCTCAATGGGGGGTGGAGGGGGCGAATTACATTATTTATATTGGAAATGGGCAAGGCTCTGTGGGGACTACTCCCTTATGCCTGATAAGAGAAAATTAGGTCACTGCCACTTCTCTCCAGTGTCTGCGGCAAGATTCTTTCAACCTAGGTGCCTTGGAGAGGAGTGAGATCCATATGCAGAGCCGATCCTGGTCCATCCAGAGCCTCCTATCCTGAACCTCCAGTAAATTATTGACCCAAGTGGAGAGTATTAATGTGGCACAATAACGTCCTTCCCGGGCAGCTCAAGCCAGGCTATCTATCATTCCGTGGGCTCTGCAGCTGGCACTGGGCAAACACTGAGGACAAATAGGCCAGATGCAAGGTCATTAAGCTCCAGGTGCAGGGGGTGGGATGGGGCCCACATGGGGCAGTGGGTAGGCCTGGTGCCTCTGGGCTGTGACTTCCTCTGGGTCACCCTGGTCCTTTTCTCTGCTTCCTCCTGCCTCAGCCCTCCAGAAGGCACTATTCTGAGAAAGCCAGCACCCTGGAGTGACCACATGTCTAGGTCCTAGGCTTCGGGCCTTCTAGGCATCATTAATCTCTATAAAACCCTTGAAAGTCCCATTGACAGTACTAAAAAGTGAAACCACCTGCGGAGGTTAGAATGGCTAGTAAGTGGCTGAGCAGGTGTGGGACCCTAGGCTTATTGGGCCAAGTCAAGAAGGGCTTAAGTCCCTCTGCTAGGACAAGACTTGTCCCCAGCGCCCCAAGGCTGGTGATAAAGAAGATTCCAGATGCCAATGATGGCCCATACCTGCTATCTCAGCACTTGGGAGGTGAGGTGGGAGGATTTTCTTGAGTTCAAGGCCACCCTGGAATAGAGGAAGAGCCTGTCTAAAAACAAAAACATTGTTTCTTCATGCTGTTCCTGATGTTACATGCCCATACCACATTTTTCTGAGAAATTGGAATACCTTATTTATCTAGGTTTTTCAACACTCTGTAGACCAGGTTGGCCCCAAACTCACAGAGATCTGCCTGCCTGAGTGCTGGGATTAAAGGCGTGTGCCACCACTGCCTGGCATTTAAATTTTTATTAGTGTCTTGGAATATTTAAATTTTTTATTACAAATGTTTATTGGGGGGTGGCATGCACGTGGCATGGCTGTGGTGCTTGGGTAGAGGTCAGAGAACAACTTGTGGGAGTCAATACCTCGTGGGTCCTGGGATTGACTTTAACAGCAGGTGTCTACCCACTGAGCCCTCTCGTGGCTGTGGAGTACTTTTTGTTTCCATTCTTCATCTGCCCGAGGCCCCTAGAGGTATCACGTCAATCACTTTTACAGAAGTGACAGACGACCCTGCCCAGAGGATGAGGACAGTGCTATGGCTAGCCAGAGGTGGTAAGTGACGGCTGGAGTTTCCGGTTTTTGTGGCTCCCACCTCAGGGTTCTCAGGCGGCCCTGAAGTCTACCTGGCAGCAGCAGGCAAGGTGCTATTCTGGGGTCACCACTCCAGTGAGAACAGGAGAGCGAGCAGCGGGGCTCCTCTCTGAGCCAAATAAGAGACCTTGCTGTGCTGATAAACGGTCCCATAATTTGCTAGCACTGCCCTGCCACCGCGCTGATGGCTGAAGGAGCTTTCTCCCTACAGGGCTGGAACTGCAGCCTCGGGATCCTGCCATAATGCAGTAATGACAGACTGCCAGGGAGCCCCGCACGGCAGGGGGGCGGGGGAGAGCCCTCTTGCTGGAGAGGATGTCTGGGCTGTCTGCAGGGAGACACAGAGGTGAAGGCAGTGACTTTATCTTCTCCAGACTGCAAGGGATTGGACCAGACAAGGTTGCAGCAATATTCTGTCAGAACCTTCTGCCCTTCTAGACCTGGGCTCCCAGCTCTTCATTACACGTGGGTGACTCCTAATCTGATCCCCCCCATGAAGGCTTCTGGGACACACAGCCCTGGGGGACAGCTGCCAGGCACTCCCCACTCAAGAAGCATAAGGCACAGGAAGAAGTGCTGGCAGGGAGGCCACAATGAAGCACCAAGGTCCAAGCTACCTGAAGACACCAGAACTCACGCAGTCTGTTCACACTCCGATGCCAGACAGAGCCTGGCGTCCCAGCATTCAGTGAGTGAGGCAGGACAGGGAGATGGGGGCCAGCCTGGACTACATAATGTTTCAAAATAATGAAACTATTAGCCAATACTGTCAGTTCCAGCTCCGCTTGACGAAGATGTTAGGTTGTCACTTTGGGCTATTGGGGTGTCTTTAAAAAGTCAGGTAAGCTGGGCGGTGGTGGCACACGCCTTTAATCCCAGCACTCGGGAGGCAGAGGCAGGAGGATCTCTGTGAGTTCGAGGCCAGCCTGGGCTACAAAGTGAGTTCCAGGAAAGGCACAAAACTACAGAGAAACCCTGTCTCGAAAAACCAAAAAGAAAAGTCAGGTAAAAATACGACTTAAAACGACCAGTATATACAGAGCAGTATCTCTGCTTTGACTGTCCAGGAAGTCAGGCTCCTCCAGTTATTAGGATGCTGTGGGATGCTCTGTATGGCAAATGTGTTGCTCTGATTGGTTAGTAAATAAAACACTGATTGGCCAGTAGTCAGGCAGGAGGAAGTATAGGTGGGACAAGGAGGAAAATAAAGCTGGGAAGTGGAAGGCTGAGTCAGAGACACCGCCAGCCGCCACGATGACAAACAGCATGTGAAGATGCCGGTAAGCCACGAGCCATGTGGCAAGGTATAGATTAATGGAAATGGATTAATTTAAGCTGTAAGAACAGTTAGCAAGAAGCCTGCCACGGCCATACAGTTTGTAACCAATATAAGTCTCTGTGTTTATTTGGTCGGATCTGAGTGGCTGTGGGACTGGCGGGTGAGAGAGATTTGTCCTGACTGTAGGCCAGGCAGGAAAACTCGAGCTACATTAGGACTAACAGTCTATATGTAGAAGCTTGTATTTAAGTTGATCCAATACAAAATAGCATGCCTGACGCCCTGGGTATGACCCCAGCAGCACGTACATCAAGAGTGGTGCTGCATGACTGCAGTCCCAGCACGGGGCTGGGGGTGGAGACAGGGGAGACAGGAGTTCAAGGTCATCTTCAGCTGTGCAGTGAGACTGAGAGTAGCTTGGGCTACATGAGACAATATCTTAAAAAACAAACTGTCTGCCAGGCATAGTGGGCGCACGCCTTTAATCCCAGCATCCAGGAAGCAGAGGCAGGGGGATCTCTGTGAGTTTGAGGACAGCCAAGGCTACACAAGGAAACCGTCTTGAAAAGTCAAAACAAAACAAAACAACACCCCCCAAAACAGCGTGATTTAATCAGTTATGGACTCTATATTCAAAGCTAACAAAACATTGCCAAAACTTTTATAAGCGTTACAACATCATTCCAAAATATATAAAACAGTATTTAACTCAAACCCTGGGAAATATGTATCCAACTATGCACACTCAGTGACGGGGACAGATTCTGAAATACACTGTTATGTGATTTCATTGTCTCACAAATGCCATAGCGTACTCACACAGACCGCCAGTCACTAGGCTGCGCGGCCTACAGAACCACTGCATAGAACGGTAGCATCACGAGGGAGCATAACTTAGTTTCTATTTTTGGAGACAGGCTGGCCTCAAACTCGAAATCCTCTTGCCTCTGCCTCCTGAGAGCTACATAGGTGTATGCCATGGAGTATTTTAATTTATTTGTGTATGGGTGTCCTGCCTGCATGCATGTGGCTCAGAAGTTAAGAGCATTTGTTGTTCCAGAAGACCCAGGTTCAGTTCCCAGCAACCACATAGTGACACACAACCATCCCTAACTCCAGTTCCAGGGGTTCTGATGTCTTCTGACCTCCGTGGGCAACAGACATCCATGTGGTACACATATTTACATGCAGGCAAAATATACAGTAAAGAAAAACAAATCTAAAAAAGTTAAGACAATAATGACAGACTCTAGCAGCTTAGAATTTTTATTAAAACAATCACTTAAATTACAATCCCCCCACCCCAAACAGAAAACAGCTTCATGTTCTGGGCCCAACAGGAAGAGCTGTTTAATAAGAGAACAGAGGAATGGAAGCCCATGAGCGCTGGCTTGGTCTCAGGCCCCTGGGGGAGGCTGGATCCTCCCAACACACGCACACACACACCATGAAGGCTGCTTGCACCGGGGCTTTGAGGCTCTGGCCCTGTTGGCAAGGGCAGTTAGTCACTGCTGCTGGCTGTCAGCCTCTGGACTTTTTTGAAAGTGAGGAAACAAGAGAAACCTGTCTACAAGATGATAAAACAGTAACTCAAGTAGTGTTATATACATCCACGGGTGTTATTTAGCAAGGCCTGACAGGTAAACCAATAACTGACCCCAATAACTTGGGTCAGAGTGCTGCTGTGGCCGAGGTATGACCTCAGTCAGGATGTATGACCGGCCACAGGCCAACAGCAAGGCCTCAGTGTCCTGCACTGAGCAGTGACTGTCTGAGTAGCATGGTACCTCTGCACAAGAGCTGTTGCAGCTAGAAAGGCAATAGCCAGGGCTGGAGCCCACTTCCCCTGGACTTCAGAGATGTCCATCTCTCCCACAAAGACCTCAGTCCTCCTACTTCTGGGACTGAAGACACCCTGGGGACCCCAGCCTCTCTTCAGAGGAGCTGATGTACTCCTGACTGAGTGGGTTTGGGCCCCACCTACCAGGCAATGGTTATACCTGCCACTGCTCAAATACCAGGGCTCCCACGTCGTTATGCAGCTTGGCATTCCCCAAACTTGAGATACAAACAGTAGTTAAATTAAAAAACAAGGCCTGACATCACTTTTAGAAGCCAGCTTCATGCTCCTGTGCCCCACAGCCATTGTCAAAGATTAAATTTACAGAGGAAGAAACTCAATCCTGGAAGAAATTCAGGGATGGGTTTCAGGCCCAAGGAGACAGCTCAACATCAGAGCCAGGGCAGACTTGGCAAACGCCAGTGTGTCAATTCTGGAGGACTTTCCCGCAGCCTTAGGTTCCAGACTAGAGTCCTAACCTAGGTGCCCAGGGAGGCCGGGTGACACTCAGGGGTGGCTAACGATGGCAAAGTGGCCAAATGGGCAGCCAGCCAGTGGGAACAAGGTAGAGTACCACCTCAGTTTCTCAAAACCAAACTGTTTTGTGGAGTGTACCTTCGTTCCCAGCCCCTCAGCTCAGCTGTCTTCAGTTAATATACGTCTTTTCATGGATTGAGACATATCACCTGTTCTGCTAGGACCTGAAGGGCCACAGTAGTGACACCCAATACAGAGAAGGTAGACCCAACCATGGAGTGTGTGAGCCACATGGTATGCATCTGCTGCCCTGCACAGAGGCAACCCATAGGGTTAACCTGTGAGTGGATACCTCTGTCAGGCTCAGGAACGGAGGGACAAGAGGGACACTGCTGGGCCCTCAGGGAGGACAAGGGCAACGAGGCCTAGGTATTAGACAGAGCTGGGGAGAGGATGATGGGATGGGCAGCAGGGCTCTGGAGTTCCATGTGCCGAATGGGATGATGAAGGGAGGCCCTGGTCACAGCTGGGTCCCAGGCACTGATGGGACTGTGACCAGGAAACCCCTGGCATACCACAGGCAAGTGACTGAGCCTGAAGGGAGTCGTGTACACACTATACTATCAGATCCCCGCATGGGCTCCACTCGCCTCCCAGACCTTCAGCTAGCCACCAGCCTTTCATCACAACTTCTATCTTAAGCCCGCTTCCTGCCATCAGACAGCTACAACACTGTCTCAGAGGAGCCTGGCCATGCTTCTGCACTGTGTCAGGTTCTCACTGTGGAGGGGAGGCACAGCTCAGAACCCTGGTGGGGAGCGGGTAGCACCAGCATGGTCGAATTTAGGCAGCCTCCACACTGGACTCCTAAAGTCACTTCCCAAACCAGGTTCTGGAGTCAGCAGCAGGCACTGGGACACTTACACCACAGTGCCTAGAACGTAGGAAGGATGGCATCCATGCACAACAACAAATACTTCTCAAAGGAAAAAGAAAAAAGAAAAGAAAGAGAAGGCCAGGTGAACTAGAACACCTTGAGAGATCTCTACAAGGCCAGAGTTCAAAACCAACTGCACACGAAGGGGATTGGGCCCTCTACTCAGAGTTCCCAAACAAGCCAGCCCTCTACTGATGGTTCCCATGGGGTCAGGCCCATCCTGTCGCTGTCAGGAACAGAAGTAGCAGATCCTGAGGTGGCCGGTCACTGCTAGAGTTCTTCAAAGAAGGCCACTCGGGACTTGGCGCTCTGCAGAGTGAGCTGTAAGAAAGAAGAGAGAAGCTGAAGGGACTTGGGCTTCACTGCATAGCCCATGGTACTGCAGGGAACGACCTCAAAGATAATAGAGCAACGGAGAAGCACGTCCAAATAGATGTTCAAGATACTGGTGGTCAAGCCCAGATAAGGGTCTAGATATACCCCAGGATTCAAACGTAGAATGACACATGCATGCCAGAAAGGATGGTGTGGGCAGACGCATCACAGCAGGTGCATGTCTATCATATAACCTTTTCCCAGAGGAGAGAGTCTAGTTTGTGACTCTCATGTTTCTTCTGGCTCCGAAACACCAACTCTCATCCTGTGCTATCTGTAGTACACCAGCCTTTCTGGGCTGAGGCCCAGGTTGGCACTACAAGCCTTTCTTACACCTAAGGCAAGGCGCATGGCTTCGGGCAAGGAGGGCCCGTGTCAGATCAAAGAGTGCTCTCTCTGCTCCCTGTTCAGGGTGACTTCAAAGCACACTTGCCCATGGCCTGGAAGCCAAGAGGCAACAGATTCTCCTTCTCTGCAGGACAGGTGTACTGGGCAGTGCCTGAGCAGTCACCCCAATACGTTCCAGGAAGATACCACCAAAGAAAACGGAGAAAAGGAGCAGAGGCAGACATGCCTCCCCACTCCGACTCTGGGGCTGCCTCCCAGCCTCTCTGTAGACACAAGCATCTGGCATAGGCACCTATTTCAAGCTATTTCTGAAATGGAGCCCTTGGGGGCTAGATTATATGCTCTAGGTGCAGCCCAGGGTTTCCCAGAAAGGAGTGTGTCAGCAACTTCACACTGTCTTTATCCCCCAAAATGTCTACCTTAGAGCTTGGCTCCAAGTGGGAGAATAGATTGTTTACTGAGTGGATGGAATGGGATATGGGCCACAGTTGTAACTAAATGGGAGACACAAGGCTGACTGTTTCCATTCCAGCTCACTGTGTGGCCTTAGTAAACACCCTTGACAACTCTGAACCTCACTCCTCTGGAGGTAAGCCATGGGGAAGGCTAGCTGGTCTGGTCCTTCCCTGGGCCTTGGGTAGTCTGAGTCTGAAGACTCTGCAGTACTCCCCAAAGCTCTACAAAGGGCAGGAGAGGGAGACTGTGACCCACCTTACCATCAAAAGACAGGCAGCATTAGTGTGCTCAAAACGAGACAGCTTGAGAGCCGCCTCTTTAAATCCTGCCAAATCTTTTGGCCTTGAAGTTCCCGACTAACAAGCTGAATGCAAGGAGGCATCCGAGCTGTTTTCTGAGCGGAACCAATCCCAGAAGCTCTATGGAAGCCCAGTCTGCCAGGAATGGAGAGGGCTTTTCTTTGCTGAGGCAAACACCCTCCAGACGGGAACTGCATTTGGCTGGGTTTCTCCCATAGCGCCAGCAGAGAGGGGACAGTGTGTGTGTGCCCTGTGATAATGGGGACCAGGGCGGTAAAGGAGCCGATGGTGCCAGAGATCTCGGACGAAAATCCTCCCCGGGGAGGGCTTAAATCAAAAGGTATCCCTACACTTCTGGGGCAACCTCAGGAGGTTTCTTGGGAATGAGGAGCCTGTAGGCAGGGACAGGACATACTCACAACCACTTCCAGTGAAATCTAAGCATAGTGAGACCCAAGAATCTGTCCGTGTAGTAACCAGGTCCCAAACCCACTGGCCTCAGTTCCCCACAGTGACACAGAGTAATGCAGCCCCTTCTCAGGGTGGCAGAGAAAACACTCAGCACCCACCTGGTTCATACTAAGAACTCATCAGCTGTCATTCCTAATTGTGGTGTGAAACCCTTCTAGGTTAGCAGAGCCCTGGTTAGATGAGCTGCAGGCAGAAGGGCCACAAACTGTGCCAGCCTCTGAGCCAGGACAGACACTGTCCTGAGAGGCCTGGCTACTTCCCCAGGCAGGACGCCCAGGCTGTGGGGGCCTCTGAAAGTCTCTTGCCTGTTTCCACAATGTTGGCTCCAAGAATTCCTGGATCCACTATCCAAGTATGCTGGCTGTCCCCTCAAGGTGCTTGGGGAGGGTTCTGGCAGCATCCGATTCCAGGTACTCAAGCATGTACTCGTTAGGATGCAAAGCTCTCTTTTCGGGAAGCTGTCCCTACCAGACCCCCACCAGTGCTGCACTGCAGGGTGAAATGACCTCCTCCCTGGCCAGGAGGGTCTGTCCTTAGTACACAGGAAAGTACAGGCGGAGAGTACAGTCAACACTGCAATGTCATGCAGATGAGTGGCCTTTCAGGAGCCCTAGGGCTGAAAAGTCCACAGTAAGGGTAGCTGAGCGCCTCCTGTGGTCACCGCCCAGTACCAAGGGAGGCCTGACTGTACTGCCCCACCCTCTACCCTTACCCTACAGTTCCTGGCACTTGTAATTCCATCAGGAAACCCAAAGTCTGAAGAATTTACAGTGTGTGCTCACTCCCGCTGCTGGAATGCTTCCAGTGGCCACCTCTGCCTGCTTCTCCCTCAGCAGTATCCTTTATCTTAAGACATCAAATGCCCTCCTCCTGGCAGGACCGGAGGGCAGAGCTCATGCAGGAAGGAGGCAGTGGTTCAAGGGTATTTGGAGAGAAGCCTTGAGCTTCCTTCTTTAGTCTGCACTCAAGGGACCCATGAAGGAGCCATTCCAGAGCCCAAGAAGCCCTTGTTTGGGGGCACTGCCACCTGTTTCTGCCGACTGTGCTCCTGGCTAGGCACTCTGTGGGCAAGCTACCCCGTGGGATCTGCTGTTAGCTGCTCTCTCTGACACAGGCAGAGCTCACCTAGAAAGCTGGTCACCACACTACAAGCAGGAGGTCCTCATGAAAGGAAAAGCTCAGGCTCAGAGGAAGTGGAACATGGTCTAAGTCCTTCATAATACCAGCCAACCAATTTCCTGGGGTTCTTGTGAGACTTTCTTCACATCCCAAAGTCCATGAACCCACAGCAACACTTGGGCTGTCTTGTCGCTCAGTGATAGGATTGGATCTCTATGCACAGCACAGCAACATCTCTGCTTGTAAGATCCAGAGAGTGCCCACTAAGATTCCAGCCTCAGCAGGGCATGGTGGCGCAGAGGCAGGTGGATCTCTGAGTTCCAGGCTGGCCTGGATTACAGAGAGAATTCCAGGACAGCCAGGGCCACACAGAGAAACCCTGTCTTGAAAAAACCAAACCAAAGATTCCAGCCTTACTTCCTTTCACAAGAGCCTGATACCATGTCACACTGAGCTGAGAACTGAACCCAGCCAAGTCCCAGCCACCAGCAGAATCCCAGCCACAATGTTCACATACACGCTTTGGCTGTGGAGGTGGGGGTGCAGAATCCCAGCTATAGAGTTTAATATGTACCCTTTGGCTGTGGAGGCAGACCCCTTGAATATGGGGTACAGGCTCTGCTTGGACCACTCAGATACCTGGGAGACTGGGCACAGAGAGTTCTCTATTTCATCAGGCAGTGAAGCTGAGATGCTCAAGACATGGATATGCCACTAGGTCCAATGCTCCAGGCTGGGACCTGCCTTCTGTGAACAAGCTAGCTGAGCTTGTCCTGACCAGTGACCATTCTGCTATGCATAGTCCTTCAAAACTCACACTGGATGCAGACAAGGTCAACCACAGGCATCTGGACAATCAGACCTTGCTCCTCTGGGAAGGCTGGAAACCACGAGGAACCAGCTCCCTGAAGATGACTAAAGACATGCAGCCTCCTCACCAGGCACTAGGCTGACCTGCTGCTCTATAGCTGTCTTCACATCTGATTGGAATCAGCCCTGTGAATAACACAGAAGGAATTAAGTTCTCTCCTGACGGAACTGGGTCTTAGTCTGTCACTAATCCAATTCCAATCTGAAGAGACCAACTTCCTTTCCCTTCTCTGTGGCAGATCTATGTGGCTTTGTTTTTATCATATGGGTCCCTGGTCTTCCTTCCTACCTCAGTACACACAGACAGGCCCTGGAAGAAGCAGTTTTCCTCCTGCCCACCAAATGACCAGGCTGTGGAAAGGAAGGAGAGGAAGCCACTTAGCAAAGCAAGGTCCCTTTGTGTTGCGTGACAAAAATGGACATATCATCAACTCTAAACAAGTCTGGATTTGGGAGATACAGTTGTCTCTTTAAAAAGACAGGAGTGTCCAGCACAGTATGCCCGCCTGTGATCCCAGCACTTGGAAGGTAGAGACAGGATTATTATAGCAGGTTTGAGGCCAGACCAGCCAGAACTACACAGCAAACAAATGAACAAAAGACAAGAAGCACACTGGCACATGCCTGTAATCCCAGGATTCAGGAGGTTGAGACAGGAGCACTCTAAATAGTAAGTTCAAGGCTAGCCTGCACAACAAAGACCCTGTCCTGGGGGGGAAAAAAAAGAAAAACTGGCCAGATATGCTGGTGTTAATCTTTAAATATCAGCACTAGAGAGGCAGAGGGTGGAGAACCTCTGAGTTTGAGGCCACCCTGGATTAGAGAGTGAGTTCCAGACCAGCCAAGGCTACAGAGAGACCCTGTCTAAAAAAAAACAACAACAAAAGAAGACTGGTTTTTCCCACCTTCAAAAATGACCTGCTACCCAGCTGGTTTCCTCTAATCCATGCATGGATCTGCAGACACAGCTGTCTCCTGCTCACCGTATGTATGACATGGACTTCATCAAGGTGCTCTGGAGAAACAGCTCTGCTCCAGGGCTGGCAGACACCAAGCCTGGAGGTACCTGTAACCAGTGTTGCCCTGCTGAGGAGGGAGGAGACTAACCAATGTTCTTCTAACATTGACCCAAAGAGCGCCCCCTGCTGGAAACCCACTGTGAGAAGGCAGACTGCCAACTCTGCCCATCTCTCCTCTAAAAGTCCTTTTGGGGGACCATTTCCCAGAGTGACAGGGGGGTAACTAAATGTATTCCAGCATGAAACCCGCAGCAGCAAGGCTGCTTGATTAAGAATGAATTACACTTTCATCAGCACAGAAAGAAAATTGATTCACAAGGCTGCATTGTGACAATCTTGTCCTAATACAAAAGGGAGCAGAGAG